TGTGGCAACAAATTCTTGGGGAGTAACCAGTTTGAGAAGACAGGAGAATATTTTTGTGGAAGTTACATCCAAGCCATCTTGCGGTGGGTTGGTTTCCTTGGTGGTTCTGTGGAGCCCTCCATCACAGCCGGCACACAAGAGTGTGCAGTGAGTCCAGGTGAGGGGGGCTGGGGAAGAGTTAGGAGATGCCGGTCAGGATGGGTGGGACCAGCTGAAGCCACAGTGTGTCCTGTAGGACCCAGAGGGCCTGCTCTGCCAGGACCAAGCTGTGGCACAGGGTGTGCTCGGCCCCTGCCTTCCCCAGCTGCACACACACACGGATATGCACACACACGGATACACACACACAGATACACATGGATACACACACACATATACACACGCGCATGGATACACACACAGATAACACACGCGCATGGATACACACATGCGCACGGATACACACACATACATACACAGATACATGCACACAGATACACACACAGGTATGTACACAGATACGCACACAGCTGCACACACCTGGATACACACGGATACACACTGATACACACATGCACACAGATACACACGCACATGGATACACATACACACACAGATACATGCACACAGATACACACGCACACAGATACGCGCACACAGTTACACACGGATACACACACGCAGAGCCGGGAGAGAAGCCCCACGGGGCGTGCAGTCAGAGAGGGAGGGAGTCTGTGTTGGCAGGCAGGCAGGCAGTGGGGATGTCAGCTGCTGAAGCCGTGGGTTCTGCGTCAGATCCATTGCACCTGCCTCCACTGATTAAGGTCGTTTTCAGACTTGCACGTCCTCCAAGCAGTACAGAGCGTAAATAGTAAGATGTTTGCCCGAGTTGTTTTCTGAAACTTGGAATCAGCTCTGTCTGGCTCCAGCTGATCTGGTTGAGACTAGACAGGCCCACCGACCCTCCAGCTGGGCCGCTTCTGTGTCTGCTTGCTGACCTTTTAACATCACGGGGCCGCAAACTTCACCCTCAGGTGGTGCTCAGCGCCCCGTTTCTGACTGTGCAGAGGCTGGTGGCCTCATTACGCCTGCACACGATGACACACCTTTACCCCATCACCTTCCCCCACGCTCCCCCTGCCCCGGGTGCCCTGCTGCTTTGTCCCAAAGATACCCCAGCCTCTGGCCTTTGGGGAGGCGCACCCAAGGCTTCTTCTCCTGCCTCCTCGCGTGGCTGCCTTGGAAGTAAACCTTTGTCTTCCGCTGACCTCGGCGTGTCCGCGTTTGGCTTGCTGCGTGTCTGGCAGGACGAGCCTGGTTCGGTAACGGTGGCACTTAGGACGCTTGGTGTGTTCCATTGTTCTCTCGAACCTTGGGGATCCCACAGTGGCAGGGCTTGTAAGCCCGAGACCCTCTGTGATGCAGAGTGGGCACTGCCAGCCTGGGAGGGTCACTGAATCCGAGCGGCGCCTGAAACCTGGAGCTCGGGCCGGGGGCTCCTGCCTGGCTTGGGGGGCCTCGGGAGTCTTCTGCCTCTTGTGTGATCTTACCCCAGCGTGAAGGGAGGTGGAGGGAGCCCCAATCCTGTTCCCCCGGAGAGGATGGAGGGCTGGCTCCTGGTCAGGGACGGCCACCGTCGGCCCGATCTGCCGTGGGGGTGCCCAGTGCTCCGTTTGTCCCCGGGGTGGCCACTGCCCCAGGTGGACTCCCTTTTTCATCTCAGGAATGTTAAAAAAATCACCCAGAAAAAGGCACTTTGGTTTAGTAATTTAGTATAGCAGAGAGGATTTTATAAACGCTGCCAGTGAGGTGGTGATGTTCCTGCAAGACGGTTTATAATTTGGCTGGACTTTGGTTGAAAATCTTCAAGTTCTGTTGTCGGCATGCATATGTATGTGGGGTTTATTATCCAGCAGTTAAAACAAATACTTGTTTGATCAGGGCAGGTGTAGGCGTGGGAGTTAGAATGAGATCAAGTGGGGGGCAGCGGCCCCTGCAAGGAGGTAGCCACCCCCTTCCCCGCCGGCTTTGCCAGGAAGGTGGGCAGGGGTGGAAGGGGGGCGGGGGCGGGGGCGGAAGGGCACGGGTAACCGCGTTCCCAGCCTGGGGTGTTGAATTATCCCGCGTGCTGAGTGGCAGCGGGTGGACACTGAAAGGTCCAGGCAGAGCAGAGCCACATTCACACTTGTCTGTGGCTCAGTTAGGGGAATGAACCCCAGCAGGACGGCTGGCAGCTGCCCGAGTTGGAGAGGAGCCTGGCTTGCTGGGCACGCGAGCCTGTGGACAGAGCACCCTTCACTGGGCTGGGGAATGCAGGAGCGGGGTGGGGGAGTAGAAGAGATGGGTTTAGATGTAGATGCTTGGGTGTGAGGCACCTGTGGGACGTGGACGTGACTGGCCAGGTGCACTCCTGGGGCTCTGTGACGTGGGCGTGGTCAGGGTCAACAGGACAGGTGTCCGCCTGTGGCCCCAGGCCTGGGCTCAGTTTGCCCCCCTCTCTCTGTGTAGAGAAGCGTTGCTAAGGGTTCGCGTGAACCCTGTGGGTGCGAGCTGGTGGCTCTCAGTCGGCGCCCCTGCCTTCGGGAGACGTTGGCCAACGTCTAGCATGTTGGGAGGGGAGGTGCCGGCATCAGTGGCTGGAGCCCGGGCGTGCTGCTCAAACCCTACGTGACGGGCCGGCCCACTGCAGAGGGGTGCGGACTGGGGGGCCTGGGCCAGGGAGGCTCCCAGGGGGTCGGGCAGCTTTCGAGCCCTCCTCTGCTTCAGAGGTCCCCACCTACCCCAGAACATTTTGCTCAGACGTTTGCTTCAAAGGGGTTGTTGGGTTGTTACTTTACAAAGAGAGAGGGGACACCCGTGAGCCTTGGGCACTGATCCTCTGACAGGGCCACCCACAGCCAGCCCAGTGGCCCCGAGGAGGGTGCACATTGCGAGGGCGACTCCAGAGGGCGGCCGGAGCAGCTTGGGCAGCGGGGAGTCAGCAAGGGACGTGCCTTCTGTGTACAGAGACTGGCCCGAATCAGGTGGGGCGGCCAGGCTGTGGGGCGAGGCGGCCAGCCGTGCTCTGGGCCCCTTCGTCTGCCAGTGAGTTCTGTCCACATGCGTTGCCGGGATCGATTTGGCCACCGGCCAGGTTCAGTTTGGTCTGGAAGTAACTCTACCGCGTCTCCTCTCATCACATGATCTTTTACAGGAGACTTTGGCTTTTTATCTAATCCCATATGCAGTGCAGGATTATGCAAAATGCAAGCAAAGGGAGAGAAATGCTAATACTACACAGAAAACGAAAGTGACCCCCAAGTTCCCACCATAAACTCTGTGCAAGATGCTCCTCTAAGAATATCTATTTATGCATCCATGAATTTATAATTTATACCTGGTGCGCTCACACGCGTGCACTGCCGTGCTGGGAAGCCTCTCCGTGCCAGCATGGGTAGGTTGACCAGGGGACTACAGTGTCACTCTCGCCTTAGGGGACAGCCGGTGGCCTCCACTGTGGCCTGTGATTGATTCTTCCAGTCAAACTAAATTCACAAGACTAGAGGTTGCTAATTCATAGACCCTTTCTGCGGGTTACCCTGTGAGTCATCCGTAACTTTTCAGGAACTCTCTGATTCTCGATGCCTCCTAGCTAGACATAAGGGTTTTGCAGAACAGGGTGTGACACTGACCTGCAAACGTGAAGGGACACGTGGCAGGGTGCAAAGGAACGTGGCCTCGGGGTCACCGGGCGAGGGAGGCCGAAAGGAACCTGTCTCGTGCTGGACCCCTCTCACCCTGATCGGGTAGCTTCCAAAACCCCTCCCAGTTTGACACGACGAGCCCTGTGTGTTGTCGTGAAGTTCAGGCTGAGCTCCTGGCCCAGCAGACGGAGGGGCCGATGGAGGCGGTCACTCGCTGAGTCCTGCTTTGGAGGTCCCCGCCCCAGGCACAGACTCACCCAGGACGGCCTCCAGCCAGACCCCAGGCTTCTGTTGGTGTCATTCCTCAATTGACTAGGGATGCAGATAGCGCTGATGTTTTCACGTCCCCGTGGATCTCTGTGCCTTTTTCGAGAAAGTAATTGTGTATCACCACCTGTTACGTGTAACAGCAGTGCGCGTATAAAATAGCATATCCTCCTTACCTGTTTTTGTTTTTCTTCTCACCCGAGCAGCAGATAAAGCTTTGGGTGAGCTGAATGTAGCGGAAGGTGGGGAGAGCTATACTGCAGGTTTTACAGCCAGCCTGGGGCCCGGCCAGGAACTGCCGTGCTCGTCTGTATAAAGGCAGATGGTGACTCCCACCAGCCGTCACTGGTGGGCTTTGAGAACGCAGCCTGTCCACACTGGGGGCTTGTCTTCCAACTTCTCCGCCTCCCAGTTCCTGTGCTGGCCTCGGAGGGTTCTTTCTGGGCCCCACTTGCCGTTACAAGCTGTCACCTCACGTTTCCCACAGCTGTTTGTGTGTCCAGCCTTACCTGGAGGCCTTACCTGGTGGCATCTGCAGGCCCGCAGTTATGACTGGGTTTCCCATGGTAGAGGTTGTCCTGTGCTGTCATCCCTACGTCCACCCAAGTCTCCCCTTTCTCCTCCTGCATCCTAGGGGATGGTTGGACCCACCAGGCCTTTCTAGAGCCCCCTACCCGCCCCCTACCCGCCCTGCCTTGGTGTGGCCCTGACTCATCTGCACACTCTGGGCCTGGGTCTGTTATGTGCGTCTTTCCCAATTGATTTCTGAGCCAGACTGAACACAGGCACTGGGTCTTGAACATGTTTCCCCAAATTTAATACAGGAGCTGGCCTGGAAAATTGACAGCCTCCATTTGGTGACTGTGGATAAGACATCCCATCTTCTGATGACATAGAGTTTCCCAAACTTATTTAGCTCTGAATTTTAAAATTACGTATAACTTGTCCTCTTCCTTTTGGATATCTGATGAATTTTAAAGCAGAATGTTTCCCAGCACTTTGGAGTGGCATTCCTTGTGTTCACGTGAATTCCGTGAACCCTCTTGACGTGAGAATGTGGTGTTTTTACAGATGCCTGCTCTGTGCCTATTTCTGAGATCATCACCGTTGAAGAAACGGACATTAATGGGAAACACTACACCAGTGGAAAATGGCAGAAAATGGAAAAGCCTTATGCTTTCACAGGTAACGTGGCCTGAATGTTCCTCAGTAATTCCATGCAGGTTACATGAAAGGGAACTTTTTTTGTCACTTGTTTAACAAACTCATTGTGTCCTTGGTTTACCTTTATAGAAAGGTCCTTATATCATTTTTTCCAAGCTCTACTTTTATTTATTTTTTATTTATTTTTGGCTGCATTGGGTCTTCATTGCTGCACGGGCTTTCTCTAGTTGCGGCGAGCGGGGGCTACTCTTCGTTGCGATGCGTGGGCTTCTCATTGTGGTGGCCTCTCTTGTGGCGGAGCACGGGCTCTAGGCACGTGGGCTTCAGTAGTTGTGGCACGCGGGCTCAGTAGTTGTGGCTCACGGGCTCAGTAGTTGTGGCTCGCGGGCTCTAGAGCGCAAGCTCAGTAGTTGTGGCGCACGGGCTTAGTTGCTCCGCGGCACGTGGGATCTTCCCGGACCAGGGCTCGAACCCGTGTTCCCTGCATTGGCAGGCAGATTCTTAACCACTGCGCCACCAGGGAAGTCTCAAGCTCTACTTTTAATATTCATTTTTTTTCTTATTTTTTTATTGTTTTTTTTTACGTGGGTTAAAAGAACTGAGAAATAGGATCTTTTCCCTAATATACCTTGGAAGTTACTAGTCAGAAGGAAAGGGGACCATTGGGGCGTTTTGAGTGTGAACCTGGGGTTAGTGTGAGGGGAGTGTGTTCCCCGGTCCACAGGGCCGCAGGCTCACGGCGTGTGTTCTCTGTGCAGTGCATCGTGTGAGGAGGGCCCGGCAGCACCGCTGGAGGTGGGCGCAGGTGACCTTCTGGTGTCCTGAGGAGCAGCTGTGCCACCTGTGGTTGCAGACCCTCAGGGAGCTACTGGAGAAGCTGAGTACGTGCGTGGTTTGTATTCGGCACAGCTTCCTGTAACCAAGGCGGATGTGATGAGTCGCTGTGGTTTTTGAATGCTTTACTGATTAGAGGACCACGTGGTGTGGTGCCCAGAGCCTGGCCCCCAGGGCGCTGGTACCTGCACTGATAGCCGCGAGGCTTGGGGCAGCCCCTTGGCTCTCTGGGCCTGGGTTTCTTTTCCTGGAAAATGGGGTGACAATGCCTGCACTCGGGTGAATGGAGGATTAAACCAGGTGCCTGGGGCAGGCATCTCTGTCCCCCTGGGGCGTGTCTGACCATCTGAGCTGTGAGTTATTGCCGTGTGGCCAGAATCTGTCTGTCACACTTAACGGTAGGTGTCAACTCATTTTGGGTCTGGAACACTATTTCGTGTTGTTTGGGTATGATCTTTTTTTAAATCAAAGCATAGTTGATTTACAGTGTTGTGTTAACATCTGCTGTACAGCAAAGTGACTCAGTTACACACATACATGTACCCTTTTCCGTTACGGTCTGTCCCCGGATATTGAATGTAGTTCCCTCTGCTCTGCAGCAGGACCTTGCTGTTTATCCATCCCGTATACAGTAGTCTGCCTCTGCTAACCTGTTTGAATATAATCTTCATACACAGCCTTCAACTGAGTGCAGGCGTCAGCCATAGAAACGAAAGAGCATGTGTTTAGGTTGGTTTTATATCTTTTAAAATTAATTTGGCCTCTAGATTAAAAAAGGGTGAATTATAATTTGTTTGAAGAAGGTACTTCCCACACGGCAGCTTCAGAGAGACTTCCCGGCTTGGAAAAGCACGCGTTTGGCTTAGCATCTGGGTGGCGGGACTTGGATTCTGCGTTTCGCCGTCTGATTCTGTGGGACGGGATGTGGTCTTTGGTCCCCCCGCCGTCCATCTGACCAGTGCGTCCTGACCTCTCCTTCCATCTCAGGTCACTGGCACTCTGTCCTCTGCTTGTCCGCTGGGCTTCTGAGCGAGTCTGGTTGGGAGGCTGCCTCAGTTCCTCTGCCGCCACCTCCCCCTCCTCCTCACCTGCTCTGTCCTCGGTGGTTCTCCTGAGACTTTGAGTCTTTGGAATAGGATGGTTCTGGAGGCTCAGACTCCGAGAGGAAGCCCTCTGAACCTGCGCCCCACTGAATAATGGGACTTTTTCCACAGCCGTGCATCTGCCATAATCTACTCGTATCTAAAAGTACCCTGTGATTCAGCTTTCCGGCTGCTCCGTCCCTTTGTGTTACTACTGAACGTTTAATTGAGGTATAACTCGACACAAAGAAGTTCTCACCCACTGAGCGCCCTCGGGTAACCGGCACACAGATCGGGAGACAACGCTGCCAGCCCCCTGGGGCCCCAGGGCCCCTGCCGTCGCTGCCCAAAGGTGACGATCACCTGACTGCAGACACCTGGGCTCGTTTTGTACTCGTGTGGTCGGATCACAGCCGACACTCCCGTGTCTGGCCCTCCGGCAGCTTGTCGTCACGTGCGGGGCAGGTGGCCCGTTCTCTGGGCTGCGTGGTGTTCCAGGGGATGAGTGTCTGGTCGTTTATGCAGCCCTTTCACCGTTGGTGGCCGCTGGATGGCCTCCTGACGTGGCCGTCGTGAGCGGAGCTGTTCTGAACACTCCCGCACGCGTCTCCTGGTGCACGCGTGGGACTGGACTTGCTGGGCTGGTGGCGTGTTTGAGCCTCAGTGCACGCGGCCACACTGCCTTCCAAACTGGAGGTCCCGGGGCCACGCCCACCAGCAGGGGACCGGAGCTCTGCTGGTCCCACACCTTAACCACACCTTTAAAATTGTACACTGGTGGGTGTAAGTAGTCTTGCATTATGGTTTTAATTGGCATTTCCCTGATAGGAATGCATTTCTCAACTTCACTGGCTCTGTGTATGGGCCATTTGGAGATCCTCTTTTATGAGGTGTCTGTCCCAAGTCTTTTACCCATCTTTCTGTTGGGTTGTCTGTCTGTCTAAGTGATGTGTAGAAATTCTTTACATATTGTAGATCTGAATCTTTCATTGGATTTTTGAATTACAGGTGCCGTCTCCCACTGGATGGCTTGTGTTTTCGCTCTCTTCGTTCCATTCTTCTGATGGACATTCTTACTATTTACGTAGCTCTGTTTATCTTTTTTAAAAACTCTGTGGCTAGTTTGTGTCCTATTTAGGACAGCTTTTCTGCTCCAAGGCCACGAAGATGGTTTCTTCTAAAGCTTTGTTCTACCTCTTGCTTTGAGAGCTACAGTCCCTTTGGAAGTGATGTGTGTATGCAGTGTGAAGTAAGCGGTCACGGTTCACGTTCCTTAGATATAGATACCTGTCTCACCCCACGCCATCTGTGGGAAAGCTTGTCCTTTCCCCACTGCATCGCGGTGCTATTGTTTTGTTTTTTTATTTATTTTTTGCTCACATGTAGACATTTAATTGGATTTTATATTTCACCTTGCATCCAATGACCTTGCTAAATTCATTGATTAATTTTACTAGTTTGATGATTCTTTTTGTCAGCTGTGAATAATGACTATTCTGTTTTTTCCGTCTCAGTTCTTATGCCTTTTTCTTCCTTTTTCTTACCCTTCTGCCCTGGTTTGGACCCTCCAGTGCAGCGGGGAGGGTCTTTGTCCTGATCTTGGGGGAAACTTTTCAACATCCCACAGTCGAAAATGATGCTTCTTAGGTTTTTTGTTTTGTTTTGTTTTTGTCTTTTGGCCACGCTGCGTGGTATGCAGGGGTCGAACCACGTGCCCCCTGCAGTGGGGGCAGAGTCTTAACCACTGGGCCGCCAGGGAAACCCCAGGTTTTTTTAAGTAAGTTTTTAAAGTCCAGATTAAGGAAGTTCCTTTCCAATCCTAGTTTTCTGAGAATTTTTAAAAATCATCATTGGATGTGTAATTTGATGAGTGCTTTTTTCTGCATCTATTGAGATGATTGTATGGTTTTCTTCTTTTTGAGTTAACGTGTTGAAAAACATTGGTTTCTCCTCGTATTTTGTATAAAAGCCTTTGTATTCCTGGAATAAGTCCTACTTGGTAATGACGTGTTTGCCCTTTTTGTGCATTTCTGGATTTGACTTGATGTTTTGTGTAGGATTTTCTCACCTAGGCTCAGGGGAGAAATAGACCTATGAGTCTCCTTTCTGTAAACGTGCTTGTCTGTCTTTGCCGTCAAGCTTACAGCGGTCATGTACGCAGAGTTGAGAAGTGCTTCTTTCTCTTCTGTCGTGTGGAAGGATTGCGGGAAGGCTTCTGTTAATGGCTCAGTTTCTTTATTAGATAGCAGGCTATTCAGATCTTCTATTTGTTGTGTCACTTTTGGTAAATTGTATTTTTTGAGAAATGTGTCTCTTACATAAAATTTATTGGCATAAGTTTAATAACTCCTTTCACTTGTAGTATTTGTAGGTTCTGAAATGTCCTTTCTCATTCCTGATATTGTTAATTTGTGTTTTTTCCCTTTTTCCTTTTATCAGTTTTATTTAGGGACTTATCAATTTTATGACTCTTTTCAAAGCATAGACTTTTGGCTTTGATTTTTCTCTATTGTGTGTTGTCTTCAATATTTTATTAGGAAGATTTTCAAGCCTACAGAAAAATTGAAAAAATTGTACCGTAGACATTCATACCCCCACCGCCTACCTTCTGCAGTTGTTAACATTTTGCTGGTTTTGTTTTGTCTGTGTCTCTCTGCCCGTCCATTAGTCAATGGTACGTTTGCTGTGTTTCCCAGTAAGTGACAGACGTCAGGGCATGACCCTTCAGACACTTCAGCACGCGTGTCATTACCTAGAGGTCAGTACTTGTTTTCAGTTCGGAGGTAGAATTTACATACGGTGAAATGGACAGATGGTAAGTGTAAATCAATGAGTTTTGAAGCATACGTGTACCCATGTAACCCAGACCCCGTAAGACTTAACACCACCCCAGTTTCCTCATGACCCTCCCCTGCCGGTCCAGAGACGACCACCAGTCTGCTTGTTTCTTTTCGTCATTGTTGCCACACGTTAGTTCTGCCACATAAATGGAATCACGTAAAAGGGGCTGTTCTGTGTAATTCTTCCGTCTCTCAGCATCATGCTTTTGGTATTTATTCACGTCGGCTAAGTGTCATCGGTGAGCTGTTCCTTTCCGTTGCTGAAGGATGCTCCTTTGGTCACGTTCTGTGTACCCAGCCGTCAGTTGGTGGACGCCTGGTGGGTCTCCACGTTTTGGCTGCTGTGAATGGTGCTGTCGTGAGCGTTCGTGTGCGGGATTCTGTGTGGACCCAGGGCTTCGATTTTCTTGCTACCTTTATTGATTTGTTGGTTAAATTTGGTTTTTAAGTGTCAGAATCTACGTGAACCGACCCAAGCAGAAATGTGGAGGTTGCTATAAGAAAATAGGGTGTTTCAGGAGACCTGGGTGTCGGCGGTTAGCCGGGCCTCTGGAAGGGACATCCTGCCATCCTTCCGTCTCTCCGTCCATCTCCAGATTGAGCGTTCCCTGTGCCTGTCCGTCTGTCTTTCTCTCCCAACGCTCCGTGCTGTATATCTACTTCTCTCATTTTCTGCAGACTCACTTTCCTTCGCATGAAGAAGAATGAGGCTGCTGCTCCCAGCATTTACACCCGGTAGGACTCACTCCTCATCAGGAGAGAGCGTCCTTCTCTGCCAGGATCCTGAATCCCCGGGGCTGCCAGCCCCCTGGCCGATGTGCAGGGCACCTGCCTGATCTCACGAGCTGTGCTTTTTCTCTTTTCAGAGATGAGGAAGCTCTTGAGCACCGTTCTTTACCTTAAAAATGCTTTTTGTCAGACACCACTAGGCGGCGCTCTAGAGCCGTTGTGGTTTGATTTTGCTCAGCAACACAGTTCTTCACTTCGATCACGTACGTCCATTGTGACCTAGGCGGTGTTGCTGTCTTGCAGCGTCTAGACCAAAGCACTTACTGGTGTTCATCAATCCGTTTGGAGGGAAAGGACAAGGCAAGCGGATCTATGAGAGAAAAGTGGCACCGTTGTTTACACTGGCCTCCATCACCACCGAGATCATCGGTAAGGCGCAAAGTCTCTGTAGAAGTAAATTTGAGAATGACTCAGATATGGTCACCGGGGAAGATCCTTATTGGATTAAGATTTTTTTTTTTTTCTGGGGCCATGCTTCGCAGCTTGCAGGATCATAGTTCCCCGACCAGGGATTGAACCCGGGCCCCAGCAGTGAAAGTACCGAGTCCTAACCCCTGGACCGGCAGGGAATTCCCTGTTTAAGATTATTTTAACAACCTGGAATCTTGGGGTTTTTGGCATACCAGAATGAGAAGAATACAAAGTAAAGAACGTAGACTGTTCTAGCCAAGTATTAGCATATAAAGCACTCAGGAAAAACACTAAGGATAAAAGGACAAAGGTTATGGACAGAAAATTCTTGCAAGAGATACAAGCAATCAGTAAGGCTTAGAAATCATTTCACCAGTAAGTGGTATTTTTAAGAAACACGATGCAATGCCACGTTTGCAGTAACGAGTTTCAGAGCAGGTTCTAGATGCTGGGAGGGTGTAGGGAGACGGTTTCTCCCTTCAGAGATTTGAGGGTTTTGTGTAAACTTATTAAAGGGCCACTTGGCAGTGCGGGTCAAGAGCCTCAAAAAGGAGGGGGTTTTTATCCAATCTTACAGTTTTCTAAACTTTCCTGAGAAAGCCATCAGCTGTACACAGAGGGCGAGGTACACAGGTGTCCGTTGCCTCATTTTTATAAAAGCAAAACACCGGGAGCCACTTACCCTGGAACAGGAAGCATAAAGATACAATTGTGGTGAATCTGAAGGAATAGTATGTAGCTCTTTAAAATGGTCTTTACAAGGAATTTTTAATGATGAAAAAGGGATTGTGATAAGATGTTGGGAAAACAGGGACACAAAATTGTGTGTACAAGTGAATTTCAAGAGCGTTTTTGTTGGGACTTCCCTGGTGGTCCAGTGGCTAAGACTGTGCGCTCCCAATGCAGGGGGCCCGGGTTCGATCCCTGGTCAGGGAACTAGATCCCACATGCTGCAACTAAAGATCCATATGCCACAAATGAAGATCCTGCACGCGGCAACGAAGATCCCACGTGCCGCAACTAAGACCCAGTGCGTCCAAATAAAAAAATTAATAATTTTTTTTTAAGAGACTTTTTGTTACAGTGAGTATACAGACTATGGACTAACATTTTCTTTCTTCTACATTTTGGTATATTCTGTAATTTTCCAACTCCCTTGGGTAATAAGGGAAAACTATAAAATAGAAGACATAATCTCTTCCAAAAAAAGTTATTATTTGTTGGCAATTAAATGCCAAGAATGTGGGACTTCCCTGGTGGTGCAGTGGTTGAGAATCCGCCTGCCAGTGCAGGGGACACGGGTTCGAGCACTGGTCCGGGAAGATCCCACATGCCGTGGAGCAGCTAAGCCCGTGTGCCGCAACTACTGAGCCTGCGCTCTAGAGCCCGTGAGCCACAACTACTGAAGCCTGCGTGCCTAGAGCCCGTGCTCCACAACGAGAGAAGCCACCACAATGAGAAGCCCGCGCACCGCAACGAAGAGTAGCCCCCGCCCGCCGCTACTAGAGAAAGCCCGCGCGCAGTAACGAAGACCCAACACAGCCAAAAATAAATAAATTAATTAATTTTTTTAAAATGCCAAGAATGTGATGTCCTACCCAGTAGAGTGTATTCTGAGAGGTCCTGTTCCCCTGAGGTCAGCATCCCTGTCCATGAAAGGAATTTGGGTAAGATCAGAGGAGGAATTTCTTACAGGAAACCCTCCTGAAGATTTTATAGGACCTCATTTTAAAAGCATGGTTTACTTGCCTTTTTTTTTTTTTTTTTTTTTTTTGCGGTACGCGGGCCTCTCACCGCCGCGGCCTCTCCTATTGCGGGGCACAGGCTCCGGACGCGCAGGCTCAGTGGCCACGGCTCACGGGCCCAGCCGCCCCGCGGCACGTGGGATCTTCCCGGACCGGGCACGAACCCGCGTCCCCTGCATCGGCAGGCAGACTCTCAACCACTGCGCCACCAGGGAAGCCCCGACTTGCCTTTCATTTTAAAGAGGATTCACAGACTTGAGTGTAAACTCTCTAACGTAACATGTTTTTTTTCCCACAGTTACTGAGCGTGCTAACCATGCCAAGGAGAGTTTATATGAGCTCAATATAGACAAATATGATGGGTAAGTAAGCGTCTTTCGTCTGACTAATAGTCAATTCTCATCAAGTTTTACCCATCTGTCTTCATTTTATTCACTCCCTCTCCTTACACCTTTTTTCCTAGTTGTAGAAGTAAAATAAACCTTCTTCTAGAAAATTAGGAAAGGCAGAAACGTTCAGTCGTGTTCTTCTCCTTGGAAAACCACCGTGTAATAGTTTTGTTTTCCTTTTCGGTCTTACCACCTACGTACAGAAAGTTTTTCTGTATCGTTTGAAAGTATGTTATAGACATGATCAGCTTTCGTCCCTAAATATTTGTGTATATTTCCTAAAAGCAAGGATATTCTCTTACAGAACTAAAACGCAGTGATCACAACCAGGAGATTAGCACTGATACGAATGCCGTTACCCATTTGCTGTCCGTATCAGACTCTGCCCGCTGTCCCATTACTCCCTAAGGCAGAAGAGCCCTGGATCGTACGTTGCCTTCAGACTCAGTGGGTGTGTCTCTAGTCTCCCGTGACCCGGACCAGATCCTCAGCCTTCTTGGTGTGGCTGAATTTTGGGAGAACAGGCCAGTGCCTTTGCAGCATGTCCCTTGGTTCTGGGTCTGTCTGAGGTTTCCTCTCGGTCAGGACCCGCTTGTGCGTTTCTGGCTGCGACAGTGCAGAGTGGGTGCCGTGCTCGTCCCCGCAGGAGGCACCGGCCCCGAGTGTGACTCTGCATCTGTGTTGCGTCTGTACCTGCTGGCATGTCAGCTCCTGGAGAGCCAGCCTCCTCTGCCTTGTGCACAGCTGTCCCCGGCGCCTGGCACAGGGCTGGCACGCGGCAGGTGCTCCGTGAATGAACAGATGAGGCTGGGGAAAGGTGGTGAGGATCCCCGGAAAGCTTGTACATAGATGTCCTATAGGCTCGGGTGTTTTGGAAAGATACTTTTGTTTTATTTATTTTGTTTATTTATTTTTGGCTGCATTGGGTCTTTGTTGCTGTGCGCGGGCTTTCTCTAGTTGTGGCGAGTGGGGGCTACTCTTTGTCGCGGTGCGCGGGCTTCCCATTGCAGTGGCTTCTCTTGTTGTGGAGCACGGGCTCTAGGCACGCGGGCTTCAGTAGTTGTGGCACGTGGGCTCAGTAGTTGTGGCTCTTGGGTCTAGAGCACAGGCTCAGTAGTTGTGGTGCACGGGCTTAGTTGCTCCGCAGCATGTGGGATCTTCCCGGACCGGGGCTCGAACCCGTGTCCCCTGCATCAGCAGGCGGATTCTTAATCACTGCGCCACCAGGGAAGCCCCGGAAAGATACTCTTGAAAGCTGCGTGGCAAGTAGCAATGAGGATTGGACCCAAGGAAGCTGCCAGAGGTTGTGGGTCTTGGGCAAGAGCTGGCTGGACAGTGGCAGAGGCAGCAGGGCTGCTCTCCAGGACGTTTGGGGGAGAATCGGCTGGTCCCCGTGACCGAGTCCTCACCAAGTGTCATCAAGCAATGAGATGAGCTGAAGCGGGTTTTGGTATGGGGGATGTCAGCTGAGCTGTGGGCCCCCTCCAGTCGGGTCAGCGTGAAGGCTAAGGGGCAAGCTTTGTGACCAGGAGCGGCGGCGTCCTGAGTGTCCCTGTGCCCCATCCCAGGGCCCCAAGAAGGCTCTAGGGTCTCAAGTGGAAAGCTGTGCCACTGGGGACCTCAGGCAGTGTGAAGAGCCTCCCTGGAGGGGGGAAGGGTCAGGGAGGCGGATTAGGGTCACACGGCGGGAGTGGGTCATGAGTGGGGGAGGGGTGGGGGAGCGTCAGGGAGGGAAGAAGCCACGTCTCACCTTCCCAGAGGCCACCTGCCCCAGAGGCCGAGTTCCGGAGACCTTGTTCGGGGGCTGGAAGGCAGAGGGTAGAAGCCTGTTGAGCCCATGTTTTGTCTGCTTGGTTTTCGTCAGCCTCGCCTGCTAGGGAAGGAAGGGGCATTCGCTGCAGCTTGGCCCCAGGCCCTGCCCTTCACCCGGTCCCCCAGGCCCTGCCCTTCCCGACCTGTCAGAGCCTGGCCGTGTGGCTACGGCGGGCATCAGGAGCCTCTCCCTGCAGGGCTGGGACGCAGACACGGAGGGTCTGAAGAGGTCTGCCGCGGGAGCGGGGAGTGAACTGAGATGGGTGGGGACTGTGCCGGCCGACGGGGCACGGGCACAGCTGCGGCCTGGGTGGCAGCTCGGAGGCCAGCGCAGGAGGGGGCTGGTGGTGCGGGGTGGGTGCGGAGGGCCTGACCCCTGTGTTCCTCCTGCAGCATCGTCTGTGTGGGCGGAGACGGCATGTTCAGCGAGGTCCTGCACGGCCTGGTGGGCAGGACGCAGAGGGACGCCGGCGTGGACCAGGACCAGCCGCGGGCGGCGCTCGTGCCCAGCCCGCTGAGGATTGGCATCATCCCTGCGGGTACGTGGGCCGGGAGGGGCCACCCTTGGGTTTTCCTTGAGGCTCATCCCTTTATTTCAGGTGCGCTCTTCTCTCCACGCACCTGACATAGGACCGCCGCTGCATGCGGGAAGGGGTCCTGCTGTCCCCCCGGACGCCTGCTTCCTGCCCGGCGCTGGGGGCGCGGTCCTTGCTCTCAAAGCGTTGGCTGTTTGGCAGTGGGGGGGATGGGGGAGGCCCAGAGCACAGTGCAGGACAAGGGGAGCCTGGGGGGCAGGCGGTGTCCTGGAAGAAGTGACAGGCACCCGGGGGGGGGGGCTGCGCGTCGGGGCGGGAGGCCTCGGGGTGTGAGCGGGACGGGCCGGCCGTGCCGTGTCCTGAGGTGGCCGGCTCGGCGTGTTTGGTGTCTCCGGGAAGCACCCAGCTCTTAGGAGAGTCACAGCATTAAGCCGGCGGGGGGGGGGGGGGGGGGGGGGGGGGGGAGCCGGGGCTTTGCAGACCACTCAGCGGAAGGAGGCACTCTCCTCACCCTGTGTCTGGGCCACAGCGGCAGGGACCCTGGCAGGCCAGCTTCGGGTAGACATCCGGGTTCTCCGATGGCTCTGAGAATGGTGCTGTCACCCCATTTTCTGGGTGACGATGCGGGGTGCCAGGGTCAGGTTGCATGGTTGCCCAGAAGGGCGTGGACGGTGGGGCTCAGAGGCTGCCCTGCCCCACCTGGGAAAGTCTGTCCTTCTCCACCTGCCCCAGTATTGTCTGTGTGTTAAGGACGTTCCGCTCAGTGGGTCACGTGTTTTCCAACTTCTCTGCCAAGCTAGGCTTTTGTCCTTTAACCTTGTACGTGGTGTTTCTGGACTACGTGAATTTTATTTTTCTACATTCTAATCTGGTTTTCCTTTATGCCTTTTGTCACCATTTGCCTGTGTGGCTCTGATACCTAAAACCCTGGGCTGTTAAAATGGTCGAAGGGCGCACGAGCTCAGGCCAATGCCACACGCCGGGAGTGCCCCCGGGCAGGCGCCCTGCTTCTCCGCGGCCTGGCGTGGACCGGGTCTTGCTGTGGGGCTCAGCAGACACACGGACCAGCATGGCAGGAGAGGGTCTCCAGTAGCGGGGCAGGGTAGAGGAGACGCCGCTGGCCTGGGTCTGGGTGAGTGGCTCGCAGGGGCTCCTTCCAGGGGGGGTCCCAGGAGCCTTCCTGAGACATGGGTGAGGGGCCGGGCGCAGAGTGACGCGTGCCAAGGGTCCCCTGGGGCAGCGGGTGGCCGTGGGAACAGCTGTGCGCTCAGGCAGGGGGCTAGAGGGACTGGGGAAAGGCCCTGGGTCAGGCTCTCGTCTTGAGGGCCGCGTGGGAGACCACCCTCTGCGTTCCGTTCTAGAGCAGCGGCGGGTGGGCTGCCCGGGTCCCGGGTGGACGCTGGACATCGGGTGTGTGGTCGGCTGTGACTCGGGCACAGTTTCAGGCGCAGAGCCAGCGGGACTTGGCGAATCGGATGGCGCAGCCAGCCCGAGCCCGCCAGCAGGAGCCCCCTGGCACTGGGCTGTGGGCACTGGCCGTGGAGCTCAGGGACAGTGTGTCGGGGTTCAGAGCTGGGTGGTCCTGCCTGGGCCTGCTCAGGTCTCAGGAAGGCCGGCACAGCGGGGGCGGGGAGACAGCAGTGCCCAGACTGTGCTTGCAAGAAGAAGGGCACATGCCCGCTGCCTCTGCCCTGGACCGGATGATACAGCTTCAGGGAGGGCCGCCTCCCACGCGGGGCCTCAAGGAGGGGGAGGCTGCAGGTGGCTCTGGGGCACAGGGGCTGGGGGTCAGGAGTCTCCTGACGCTCGAGATGAACCAGATCTTACGTCTGGAGCTGGCGCTCCCTCTGGGTTAAATAAAGTCTTCACCGCACAGAGATCACTGGGGAGGTACGTTGTCCCCAGAGGGGACAGTGAGCTGTCGGAAGCAGTACTGAATGTTAAACAAGCGAGAAGTGGTGTTTTGGGGACGAAAAAGAATCAGACATTCTCCTGCCCTGAAGCGGCTGTCTGCTGGTGCCCCGGCCGCCAGCCCAAAGCACGGGGGTCCACAGCCCGCAGGCACCCCGTGCTCCGTCCATCCGTTCCCTCGGTGTGTCCTTGTGCGTACGTTCTGCTGGCCTCCTGGGGGCCGGCCTCGCTGGGGGCCTCGCGAGGGAACACGGCGGGGACGCAGGGAGTCCACGGGGAGAGACAGGTGATGAGCATGAAACAGAGAGGGCAGAGCAGTGGGGCCCGGGGGAGCACGGTCCGGACGGGCACTCAGATGCCTGAAGGGCGGGGGACAGCGCCCTGCATCTGGGGCACGATGTTCTGGGCCGGAGGAGCGGCACAGGCAGTGACCCTGAGGCAAGAAAGGCTTGGCTGTGGGTGGTGCCGCCATGAGCAGGGTGAGTGAGAGGCAGAGTGGAGGTGGGAGCTGCGGGGGGGCAGGGGGGAGGTGGCCCCATGGAGGATGCTGAGCTGAGTACCTTCTTTAAACATCTGATGTTTCAGCAAAGTGACCCCTGAAACCTACTAGAAACTCGGTTCACTTACCCTATTTGTTGCCCTAAGGACTTGGGTGACAGTGAATGCGTGTGCCCCAGCCCAGGGCAGCCCCCACTGAGCCCTCTGCTTTTTTCTGTAGAGTTCAGGTGCCTGTAGGTTCTGCGCCATCTCACACCCTCAATGGGAGCGTTTGCGGTTAGCTCCTAGTGAATGCACTCGGAAAAGTGGGCCACGTCCAGCCCAGCCCTCTAGAGCCGGCGGTTTGCCCCAGGTGCGGCCCAGGACTGACTGACCAGTGGCCTTCAGCCTGTCCCTGTCCTGCCTACTGTTCCCACACGAGGTGCCTCTCAAGCAGCTTCTGTGACAAGATGCTGTCGTTGAGAAGGGTCATCAAAAAGGGCCCATCTTTGTTGTGGCTGTAAAAAGGATGATGCGGCCGGTCAGAAGTGCTGGGCTTTTTTTCCCTGCTCGAGACAGATCCCTTTATGAGACTTTCAACTTGATTCTAGCATCTGTTTAATAGGGCAGTTAGATTCTAGACAGACCCAGAAATAAAGAGGGACTTTAAAGGTCAAAAGGACATGGTGCAAAGTGCAGACCACTCATCTCTTCATTTTTATTTGAGATCACTGCTGAATTTCTACTGATTAAAAGACTGCAGAATATACAAGTTATATCTGATAAAATGCAGGGGAGGGGACTTCCCTGGTGGCGCAGTGGTTAAGAATCCGCCTGCCGACGCAGGGGACTCGGGTTTGAGCCCTGGTCCGGGAAGATCCCACATGCCGCGGAGCAACTAAGCCCGTGCACCACAACTACTGAGCCTGTGCTTTAGAGCCCGCGAGCCACAACTTCAGAGCCCGCGCGCCACAACTACTGAAGCCCGCATGCCTAGAGCCCGTGCTCCGCAACAAGAGAAGCCACCGCAATGAGAAGCCCGTGCACTGCAACGAAGAGTAGCCCCCGCTCGCCGCAACTAGAGAAAGCCTGCGCGCAGCAACGAAGACCCAAGGTGGCCAAAAATAAAAATAAAGTAATTAATTTTTTAAAAAATGCAGGGGATGTTGGATGTCTGATCCGTTTTTGTTCTAAAGGATGGTTTGTGAAGAAAGTAAACAGTGCAGTAGGCATGTAAGGGGAGCAAGTGGGCTCTGGAAATTCTGGGAAGTTCTAGGGATGTGAAGGTGTGCTTCAAGTTAATTTCGTGGCTCTTTCGTAGTTTATTTTCTCAGAAATGTTTATACCCGTTATTCGGGTACCCTCAGTTAGAAAAATAAGGGTGTGGAAGATAGTCTGAAACCATGTCGTTTTCCTTAAATACTGTTAATTCCAGTTTAAGAATTAAGTCACTCCTGTAATCTTAAATGTTCATTTAAACCGTTTTACTTTTCGGCTCATTTTTGGAATGAGATGTCATTCAAGTCTTCAGGTTAAGATTAACAAAAAAGAAAAATATACGTATTAAAAAATATATCAATCTGTATGTGTTTACATAAGTTTCCGACCATAAGAAGGCATATGTTAGCTTAGATTAAACAGTTAAGAGGCTTCTACTCTGATCTCAAACTGGACCAGATTCTGTTGCTCTAAGAGATGACAAACACTGCCTGCGATCCAGCACGTCTATTTAGAACCATGGACCTTCAGGCGCCCCTTAGGCTGAGGGCCTTATAGAATGTTCCGGGGCCTGAGGGCACAGCATCTGGGTCCTGCCTGCGGCCAGAGCTTGTGTGAGTGTAAACAGGATGGTTATTCCCTGATGGGCCTCAACCTGTGTTGGTTGTGTGTCTGAGGCAACACTTATGGTACAATTCTGGATACCGTCAGGGTTTATTCTTGGGAAACCTAGACTAGGGTTTCTGGCTATTCAGCAGACGTGTTAAAATTCAGATCGCTCAGCCCCAACCCAAACCTACTGAGTCAGGATCTCGGGGGTGGGGCGGGGCTCGCGAGTCTGTTATAAATAAGCACCCGGGAGGTGTTCTGCCCACCCAGGTGGAGAACAGAGACGTTGGTGATGACCCAGTTAGAACCAGGACAGACCGAGGGAGGACCCGCAGCATCACTGCCGTGCCCTCGGGATCCCGGTGCTAGCTGGGTGCTCTGGGGTCACCTCCACTCTATAGACAGGGGTGTGGGCAGGAGGCAGAGCCCCGGCCGAGCCCGTGGGGTTCAGAGCGGGTCCCGCTGGCCCCTCACGTCTGTCAGCCGGCAGCTCCTGCGCCCTCATGACCCAGGGGTGGGCTGAGGCTCCGGGTCTCGCCGCGCACAGGCCTGCAGTGCTTTTTCTGTGACCTCCACGAGCTGTCCCTGCTTTGCACGCACTTTCCCACTGCAGAGTCCCCCTGGTCTTGTGGTCTGGAGCCCCAGGGCTGCTGCCCGCCTTTGTGGCAGCCAGGAGCGGGGACACCGTGCAGAGCGCTGAGCCTGGCGCCCTGGCGCCCCGCCGCCACCGCTGCAGGGACTTCCCAGGGGCCCCGCCCCCCAGACGGGCTCAGGAGGGGTCTCTGAACTCTCTGGGAGGAGCTGGTTGATGGTATTCTTGATGAACCAACCTCAGTGACTAATTTTGTAGGCAAACGGAGCTTATTCCTTCTTATTTACTCCCGGGCCATGGAAGAAGCAGAAGAGCTTACCACTCATTCACCTGGAAACACGCTGGGATCTTAAGTGATTGTAGTGATATTAAGGACCTTTTCCCCCTTTTAGGGTCGACAGACTGTGTGTGTTACTCAACGGTTGGCACGAACGACGCGGAGACCTCGGCTCTGCACATCGTCGTGGGTAGGTGCCTCTCTCAGTGCCGCACTTGGCTTGCTCCATCCCGGGTTCCCGGGCACACGTGGGTGTCGGTCCGCCTCACCGTGCGGGTGCCCGTCAGTCCGCCCGCAGGGCCCTGGCTGCCACCCTTCCCTGCCACTTCCCATCCAGCGGGGCGACCTTCAGAAACAGAAGCGCTGCTCTGCTCGGAACCCTCTGGTGCCCTCCCCAGACCATTTGGGGTGCCCGGCGCCTGCGCCCCGGTGGTTCTCCGGCCTCTTGTCGCCCTGTGGGGACAGGCCTCCCCAGTCACACCCCACCTCCCCGCTCCTCTAGAAAGCGCGTCCCCCGGGGTAGGAAGCCCCAGGCTGCTTGTAAAGCTGCTCGGAGCTGTCCAGGCGCCCTCAGCGCACATGTGTGGCTCCCTCTGCCCGTCCTTGTCCCCGATGGCAGTGCTCATCGCGTGTCATCCAGAGTCACAGAACGGCTGTGTTTACAGACGGTGCACGTGTGATTTTACATTTGAAGACGCCAGGCGCCTTTTCCACCTTCCTTTCCGTTAGTGGCGTTTAGCGAGCTTCACGGTCACATTGTTTTCCCCTCTTTACGGAACAGCTTTCCAAGCCCGTTTTGGAAATTTGAGTCAAATTTAGTCACTTGAGTGGAGAGCAGGAGGCCGGGCACCCCGGGAGAACAGCCCACGGCCTCGACTGCCTTCTGCCTGTCTCACGCTTTAATCCGTGGCTTCGTCATGGCCGCCGGGCGCTGTGCAGCGGGACAGGCGGAGGGGCGCGGCGTCCACCCTGGCTTCTCTACGCAGGGGACTCGCTGCCCATGGACGTGTCCTCTGTGCATCACAACAGCACGCTGCTGCGGTACTCGGTGTCCCTGCTGGGCTACGGCTTCTACGGGGACATCATCAAGGACAGCGAGCAGAAGCGGTGGATGGGTCTTGTCAGATACGACTTCTCAGGTAACTCAGAGTACCACGCCGGGAGCTTCCACACACGGCCTCCGCCTCGCTCAGGGTGGGGCCCCGTTCACAGACTTTGGAAACCAGGGGGCGGGAGTCTGACGGGTCCTGGGTGCCCGGAGAACCACTGCCGTCGGTCACAGGCCAGTTCTCACAGGTGCTCAGAGCTGGAACAAAGAGGAATGGAGGTCGATCCCAGATCGTACAAACAAGTGACGGTCTGTACTGCAGGTCACGTGCAGCACCACCCTTCAGCCTTCAAATGCGTTTAAATGCAGAAAAAAAGTTTGAAAGGATGTAGGATTCAAAGTTTGACACTTGTTGCTGAGATGAATTCCTCGGCTGTATTTATTTATTTATTTGCAGGGACTTATAGTACTGTTTTATTTTATTTTTAACATCTTTATCGGAATATAATTGCTTTACACTGTTGTGTTAGTTTCCGTTGTATGACAGAGTGAGTCAGCCATATGCATACATATATCCCCATATCTCCTCCCTCTTGGCCCAGGCCCCACTTCTGATTCTAGTTCTCTTGCTGTTTCCACCCCATCTGCAGTGACTTCCTCCACTGAGGTCTGAACCCCTCCAAGTTCATCCGGGAGGGTTGGAATCAACTTCTTCCAAACTCCTGTCAATGTTGATATTTTGAACTCTTCCCATGAATCATCCCAGATGTTCTTAATGGCATCTGGATGGTGAAGGTTTTTGGTTTACTTTGCCCAGATCCATGAGAGAAATTACTGTCTGTGGCAACTATAGCCTTACAAAATGTATTTCTTAAGGAGTTAAGACTTGAAAGTTGAAATGGGGACTTCCCTGGTGGTGCAGTGGTTAAGAATCTAGCTGCCAATGCAGGGGACACGGGTTCGAGCTCTGGTCTGGGAAGATCCCACATGCCACGGAGCAACTAAGCCCGTGCGCCACAACTACTGAGCCTGCGCTCTGGAGCCCGTGCTCCGCAACAAGAGAAGCCACCACAGTGAGAAGGGCACACACAGCAATGAAGAGTAGAGAAAGCCTGCACATAGCAATGAAGACCCAACACACCAAAAATAAATAAATGAATTCATTTTTAAAAAAAAAAAAAAAAAGAAAAGAAAGTTGAAATGACTCCTTGATCCATGGGCTGCAGAATGAATGTTGTGTTGTCAGGCATGAAAACAACATGAATCTCGTCCATCTCCCTCAGAGCTCTTGGGTGACCAGGTGCATTGTCATTGAGCAGTAACATTTTTTTTTTGTGTGTGTGGTACGCGGGCCTCTCACTGTTGTGGCCTCTCCCGTTGCGGAGCACAGGCTCCAGACGCGCAGGCTCAGTGGCCGTGGCTCACGGGCCCAGCCACCCCGCGGCATGTGGGATCCTCCCGGACCGGGGCACGAACCCGCGTCCCCTGCATCGGCAGGCGGACTCTCAACCGCTGCGCCACCAGGGAAGCCCGAGCAGTAACATTTTGAAAGAAATCTTTTTTTCTGAGCAGTAGGTCTCAACAGTGGGCTTAAAATAGTCAGTTAATCATGTTGTAAATAGATGTGTTTATAAACAGGCTTTGTTGTTCCATTTACAGAGCACAGGCAGAGTGGATTTAGCATAATTCTTAAGGGCGCCAGGATTTTCAGATGGTAAATGAGCACGGGCTTCAACCTAAAGCCACCCCTAACCGCAGAGCCAGCCTGTCTGTCGTCTGGAGCTCTGAAGCCAGGCAGCGACCTCTCCTCTCCAGCTGGGGAAGTGCTATAGGTGGCATCTTCTTCCAGCAGAAGGCTGTTTCCTCTGCACTGAAACTCTGTTGTTCAGTGGAGCCGCCTTCGTGAATGATCGTAGCTGTAGGTCTTCTGGCCGCTGGCACCGGCACCTGCTGCTTCCCCTGGCACTTCGACGTCAGGAGGCGGCTCCTTTCCTTCAACCTCGTGGCGCAGCCTCTGCTCGCTTCTTCCTCTGCAGCCCCGGGCGTGCTGGGGGTGCAGGCAGCTCGACGGACAGCATGCCACAGTTTGCCAGAGGGGCCGGCCACGGTCTGGTAGCAGTGCTGCCTGGTCTTTTTCCTGAGTTCCTCCAAGACACCAAAGTTATGGATGACGGGGTCAAGCCTGGGGGCGCGCTGGGGGCTTCACAGGGCGGAATCTGCAGGCCACGTCGTCGAGGCCACGACGAGGGGTCACTGGTGGCCAAGACGTCCCCTTTGCCAGTGTGGAAGGCAGCCCTGGTGGCCGGGAGCCTGCAGTCCTCTGTGATGGTGGTGGCAGCTCAGCCTGAAGTGGGAGGGGGCCACGTCCTCCTGCAGACACTCTGTCCCCAGGCAGGGGCCCCGGCCCACGCTTTGCAGACGCTGACGGCACGGCCTCCTGCACAGGCAGTGGTGCATGTGGATGTGTCTCTCCGTCTCTCTCTGTTCTCAGGTTTGAAGACCTTCCTCTCCCATCACTGCTACGAAGGGACAGTGTCCTTCCTGCCAGCACAGCACACGGTGGGCTCCCCGAGGGACAGGAAACCCTGCAGGGCGGGGTAAGCACATCCCTTACGTGCGTTTCTGCTCAAACGATGAGATAGAAGCAGGACTGGCTGGGGTTTGCTCCTGCTGTGAAGTGAGCAGTACTTGGCAATGTAGACGGGAGGTGCTGGTTCCTCCTGACCAGTGGTCAGGGTCCCACGCACCCTGAGGGGGTCCCGCTGTGTCCCCCACGCTGGGTCCTGGGTCACGGGGCGGTCCAGGGTCAGGTCTGGTCCCCTTCGTCTACCCAGCAGAGGGCTCACACCACGCCGTCTGCTCCGGTGCGGGGATCCGCTGTCCCCCCCCACTGGGGATGTGAGAAATGATGAAGACAAGCCCCTTTATGGACAGCTCTGTGCGCGCCCTCGGGGCACCCGTGGAGCTGGCTGGACGGGCCCCCTGTCCCCCCCACTGGGTGGTCAGGAGAGGCCAGTCCAGACCCCAGGCCAGCAGTGGGGGCCCCTCTGCGAGCCATGCTACCTTGTCGCCCTGTGTGTCCCCACCGTGCCCAACAGTGTGTGCCTGGGTTAACCTGGAACGAGTGTCAGGTTGTCACCTGTACTCGCGGCCCGACAGCCCGCATCTCGTCCCTGCTCCTCAGCCTGAGGACGCGGAGAGGCTGAGGGGTTTCGATGGACTCGGGGGTTTTCCTTCTTCCTTTAAGTCATTCAGACGTGGGCCCTTCCTTCCCCTGGTCCTCTCCTCCTTTAAGTGAAGAATTTGAGACCATAAAATCAAACAGAGGCACGGCCTCGCCACATCCGTTGCTGATGAGCTAATTCCACCAGCAAAAGCCCCTGGCCCGTTTGACGGCCTGCATCCAGCGGTGCCCAGGACCGCAAACGTCTTTCAGACCGATGACCAAGTCCCGCGACAGCTGCTCTGAGCCGTTCACTTGCTCGTTACTGACCGGACCAGGTCACCACTGTGTTACCTGTTTTGTGAAAGGGAACAAAGTCTCAGGCCGGGAATCCGCGCTGGGACCTGCACCTTGTCCTTTGCTCCGTCCGCTGCCACCCCGGCGTCAGGGCCAGGCTCAGCCCGCCCCCCAGAGCCAACAGAAGGGCCTCATGGGATGCCGTTTGCTTTTTGTAATGTTTATCAACTTCCAAAACGGATATGTTGTCTATGTAATTTTTAAGAGTGGATCTGATTCTGAGAACCCAAATTAATATGCAAACCAAGTATTTTTAAGCGAAGCCTCTGCAATTGCACTTCCTGTTATATGCAAACAATTGAAATGCTTTTGCAGCCTAGGTTACAGGCGAGGGGGGGCGTGTTCTTGTCCTCCAGGTGCTTTGTCTGCAGGCAGAGCAAGCGGCAGCTGGAGGAGGAGCGGAAAAGGTCTCTGTACGGCCTGGAGAGCGCCGGTAACGTGGCTGGGCCGGCTCCGCGGTGTGGGGGCGGGGGGGGGGGACCTGCCCGGGGCCCCGGGGCTCGCCCCTCCCCCCCTTCTCTGCAGGGGCACCTGCTTCCACTTCAGCTCCAGGCAGAGTGCGCGGTTGCCTTTGCCAGACTCTGGAGAAAAGAGGGGATTTTGTGGAAGGGCCCGTCTTGCCACGTCCCTCTGAGCTACTGTTGTAGCGCCAGCCAGGCGCCTGTCCCTAGAATGGTCCGGAGCGGGGGTCAGCGAATGGGCTCAGCAGGGCTCCAGAAACTATTCGTGGGCGCTGGAATTTGAGTTTCACACCATTTTCACATGTCACAAAGTACTTTCCTTCTTTTGATTTTTTTTTTCAACCACTTAGAAATGTAAAACCCATTCTTAGCTCGCAGGCCACACCCAGTCAGCTAGGTGGTGGGCCAGATTTGGCGACCCCTGCTCTAGATCGTGGTCCCAAGTCCCAGGCGAGGGCCCGAGAAACAGTTCTGCCTCTCGGGAGGTGACCGCCGGGCACAGCGGCGGGCGCGGTTTTCTTTGCGTTGATGCTGAGAAGCCATCGCATGGTGCGTTTGTAGAGACGACCCCTCCCGGTCATCTCGGGACGCCCGCCTGCCCGGCTCGGATTTAACGTAGCATCTGCGATGCTTCTTCCTGCTTCAGAGGAGGTGGAAGAGTGGAAGGTCGTCTGCGGGCAGTTCCTGGCCATCAACGCCACCAACATGTCCTGTGCTTGTCCCCGGAGCCCCCAGGGGCTCTCCCCGGCCGCCCACCTGGGAGACGGGTCTTCTGACCTCATCCTCATCCGGAAGTGCTCCCGGTTCAACTTCCTGAGGTTTCTCGTCAGGCACACCAACCAGGGCGACCAGGTAAGGCCACCACTGCTTCCACATGGCCTGCGTCGGCGGCCGCTTCTACCTGGGCGACCCCGATCTGTATGTTGTAGGATCGGCTGTGAATTCAAGGGGAAGGAGGACAGATTTTTCTGTTTGCATTAAGTCTTAGTCATAGTTACTCCTTGTAAAATCTCATTTAAAAATATAAAGCCTTTGGGCAGAGAAACTAGGAGGCGTGAATGTTTCTCTTCCTATGTAAAAACAGAATGAAGTGATGCAGTGCAACCTTCTGTTGCCCTTGCTGGTCACAACAAAATCTTTCAGCTCCCGGAAAGGGGTTCTATTGAGACTCTTCTAGCAAACCTTTCCTTAGTCACTGGCACCCTTGTAGTGACACGGGGCCGGGGAGGGCGAGTCTAACAATACCCAGACCATTGCAACTTCTGATCAGCCTATGATTTTAGTCAAGTTTGTGGCTGTTAAATTTTTTTAAGATCTGGGCCAACAGTGTTTTCATGTGGCTTTTAAAATACTGCTTGTTAAGAAGGTAAATAATCGTACAAGTCGCTGCTCAGGAGCCGCGGAGCTCTTTACTCCGTGTCATTCATTGTGGATGGGACCGGATTGTGAGAGTTGTGGTGACCACTTCTCTTGTCCCCAAGCTGCGGGGCGAGGAGCTGCCGGGAGGCCCCGACGGCTGTCCCGCCCCCAGCGCAGCACCGCTGAGAGCACGTTTCCGTCCTGCTGTCTCTTGGTAGTTTGACTTCACTTTCGTCGAAGTCTATCGCGTCAAGAAGTTCCAGTTTGTGTCGAAGCCTGCGGAGGACAAGGACGGCAGCGCCCGGGGCCGCGGGAAGAAGCGATTGGGGCAGCTGTGTAGCGACCGCCCCCCTTGCTGCTGCGCCGTCTCCAGCAGCGCCTGGAACTGCGACGGGGAGGTTCTGAGCAGCCCTGCCATCGAGGTCAGGTGAGCGAAGGTGGCGCTGGGGCTCTGTGAGCCTGGCGCCCTCACAGCCTGAAGCATAAGAGTGAGTCACAGACGCACGTGTGTTTCCCCGGGTGAAGTCCCCAGGGAGACGCCGTGACCTCAGGTTTGGAAAGATGCTGAGGGGTCGGTCTTTTCACAGGTTTTGAAGCCCCTCAGTTTTATTTTTCTGTGCCACATCCTGCACTGCCAGCACTGGCGTTCCCTCTCTCGTCTCCTCACTAGTTAAACTAACAAAGCGCCTCTGTGGGCACTTTCCAAGTCCTGGATCCACTGACCACCGGGAGGTGCTGCGGCCCTGCTGTGGTCCAGGCACCAGGCCCGCCCCTCCGGCTCTGAACCTGCTGGGCCTGCTGTGTTTGGACTTGGGAATCTGAAGTCTGATTATATGTATTTATTACATCGCCAGATGAAATAGGAGTGCCAAGAACGTGGTTTTTTGCCCCACTGAAAGACACAGTAAAGGAAACTGTTTTTCAGAAAAAGGCTATTGATTGAGGTGTGCGTGTAACAGTTACAAGAGACTGAGGGAGAACTGTAAAGTTCTAGAAGGATTCTGTCCTGTGACCAGTGGCTTTAGGATCTTGGTCGACCTTAAGGAATCCAAACTGGACTCTCGCTGGCGATGGCAGGGTGGGTGTTACACGAGCAAGGCAGTCAGGAGTGAGCCTGCAGGCCCCGCCCCCGCTGCCTGGATGGGTGGGTGGCGGGCGCGCCCTTCCATGTTTCAGGGTGCTGCGTACTATCCCCGTTTATCATCCCCACTTTAAATGGCTTCTCGGCCAACCAGCTGCTGGTCCCAGCTGGGTCTCCTGCCTGTTAGCGTGCAAGCCAAAGCCGCGGGCAGGGGCAGGCTCTCCGGCCTCCCCCAGTCCCCGTCTGCGTGCTCCCTGCTCTTGCGACCAGGATGCGGCCAGTGTGGCAGTGACCGCCCTGCTCACATCTCAGGACAAGAGGCGACTCCAAGGTCAGAGGCGAACCCGCCCTGCCTGCCAGTCGTGCGTGCAGGGGTTCGGCTCCTGTAGACTCATTTCACAAGTTAAGGAAACGGAATTATTTTTAATGCCGGCTTATGAACTGCTGAAAGTTAAAAAAGGCATTCTTTTGTGAAATAGATCCTACACGTCTTGATAAAGGTTGCGCTGCCTTGAACAGCGAGCCACTTACTTATGGGGTCTCTGGGACTAACCGTCTCGCAGGAGGCTGTGACGTCATTCATCAAGTGGGACGGCGGCACTGCCAGTGGGACCCGAGAGCCCACGCCGACCTGCGAGCCCCCGCTCACGTGCTGTGGCTCTCCGTGGAAGGCGGGCGCTCGGGCTGGCGTGGCGACACTTGTCTTCCGTGACTGCACATTTCCCGCGTCTCCTACTCGCTCGGGCTTGCCCCTCAGGGGACCCTCCCCATGGCCCCGTCAGCTCAGTCCTCATAAGGAGACCGAGGCAGGGAGAGAGGCGGCTTCTGCTCGCGGGTGGGGCGCCGGAATTAGAACCGGGTCTGTGGGGTCCCAGATCTCCACTGGGCCGTCAGCTGCTCTTTGCAGAGTAGGTCTCTCAGGAGTGTCAGGAAGTCGCTCTGCGCCCCGGCCTGTCGCTGCCAGGTGGGACCAGAGACTGCCACGGTGAGACCCACCGTCCTGGTGCGTGAGGCCCACCTCCGTCCTCGACCAGCTGGGGGGCCGAGAGTCAGGGGACGCGCAGGGTCTGAGTGTGGCCCTTTGTCTCTGCAGGGTCCACTGCCAGCTGGTCCGGCTCTTTGCACGAGGAATCGAGGAGAACTCGAAGCAGGAGTCGCACCGCTGAGCCGCTGCCTCGCGTCACCGGCCTCGCGTCACCGGCCTTCTCGCTGTGCTTGGGAAGCGGGAGCGTATTGAAGAAAATTACTGCAGACCAATTACGTTGATACGCATTCAAACTTAGAAATTTATTTTTGATAGTTAAATCTTGATTTTAGAAAAAACACCTTTTGTCAACAATTCTGTGGACATATTTGGCATTTTCGGTTCTGTGTGGGTCTTTGGGCTGCGTTTCACGTAACTTATCCTCAGCAGGTGGCGCCCGTTGACTTGGGAGCGCCTCTGGCTTCTTAAGATTTCAGCCACGCTGACGGCGCAGATGTAAAAGCGGCCCACTTGTGGCTCTCTCGCAATAACTGTAGGGACAACGCGACGTGAATGCTTTCCGTCAAGGTCACGCCACCAGGACACGAGTGTCTACAGGGTCACCGATCTGCTTGGCAAGACTTACTCTGTAGTAGCTTGTGATCAAGTTGTGGAAAGTAGATGGTTCTCTTTGCCTTTGTAGTACCTGCATCTTAACTTGCGATTAAGGCGTTATTACTGGACGCTTCCTGTCCCGGGCGACTACAGTGCAATATCGTAGTCCTGCCCGAAGCGACGCTTCCGGAGTAGCCCATTCTCGCGAGTGAGAAGAACACTCCCAGTAACGACGCTACTGTAGCTTGAAAAGTCACACTGGTGTTTCTAGACAATCCAGCTGGGAGCGAGGACAAGTCAGGAGCTCTGGAGACGGGCGGCTTGCAAGGCCCTCTTGCAAGGGTTTTAACTCTTAAATTTGGAATCCCCGAGCTTTCTGTCCGCACAGCGGGGATGCCATAGCTGGGCTTTGCGGGGAGACAGAAAGCAGCCGAGCGCGGTGGGTGAGGCGTTGAGACGTTCCTGCGCGAACTGTGTGAACTCCAGCCCGAGCTCCCCACCCCCAGGGGAGCGTCCCACGCCCCGGGGTCCCTTGGGCGCAGCCCCCGAGTCTGTACCACGTGGTCCAGGTTTGTTCCTTTCTTACCTTCACAACTTATTTCTGTGTATTTATTGAAAGTTCTGGCCTTTAAACCAGAAGAGGATAAACGACGCCCTCGCTGTCATTGTTTTCGTTTGTTTCTGCTCAAGTGCTGGGGCCGCCCCTCGCCCGGGCCTCGTTTCGTTGTGTTCGTGCTTCGGTGCGTGGAAGACGCACCTAAAACAGCTTTAGCTGAGACGTGAGAGGATGCAGCTTCCCCTTGGATTTGTGAAGAGGGAGTTTGACTGTTACGAGAGGCCGTGTGAGTGGCCGCCGCCTTTCACGCAGGGTCCCGGCAGCCGCTTTAGCATCTGACAGACATCGTTTATTTCTGGAACGCCTTTGCAGTGATTTCTATTTGGAAGGACACGTGAAATGTCCTGTTTCACCATTCAGTCCCGCCCAGGGCAGCCTCAACAGTGGTTTTTTTAGGAGACCACGTTATTAAGTGATTGTGCAAGTTGAATGATTTGATAACTGGCGGGGGAGTGAAAAGTCTGAGGATGAGAAAGAAGGAGATGCTGCCGTCTTGTTGATGTTTGCCCTCGGTGGGGAGGAAAGCAAAGGTGCACGAGCCCTGCGCGGGGGGACCGTGGGCGCCGTGGACTTGACGGCGCTGCTTCACCAGGGTCCCTGAGAGAGTCTCCAGTCTTTATCGTCCCTGGGAAATGTTTCCAATCACTGGCCTGCCCTGAAATTCACTGCCAATTGTAGAAAAACCGTCCAGGTCAGAGGGTAGGCACTTTACGTTCAGGAAGAAACCCCACCACGCCACGTGGTTCCTGCGTGCCTTGGCGACATTCACCGACTGCTTGCCGACATTCAAAATCGCAGACCTTGGAGCTGCCCCTGGAGGTTGTGTGGCTGTCCGAGGACCGCCCCGCCCCACGCCGGGGGGGGGGGGCGGGGCTGTGGATGACCCCGTCACGGGGCCGGAGTACGGAGTACCTTTTGGACCCCCTGAGCGGAGCGACCCCAGCGCCTACACTGTAGGATTTTAAGAAAAAATCAGAACTGATGGCTGGACAGTGAAAACCTGGGGTCGCTGAGCGGCGTTAGTCTAGGTCGGTAACCTCCCGTGTGGCCTGTCGGTGCAGCAGTCAGGCCCCTGGGCGGGCGGCCGCCTCTGTCCTCACTGCGGTCCCGTGTAACTGGGCAGAAAGTGGCTTCATTTCCTTTCTAGTCTTGCTGGCTTCAAGATTAGAAAATGGTGAAATTTGCTCTGATGTGTTTGAGAAGACAAATAAAGTTGTTACTTTGGGCAGGACCTAGCTTCTTTTTTCTCTTACGAGTTTCCTGTTGTTTTTCAAAGCAGAGTATTTTTTGTGAAAACACGTACAATTTAAAGAACAAGAGTAAGATGAACAATGAGGTACCTACCCCCCAAGCCAAGAAACTGAACTTCGCCCCCAAGCTCCCTGCGTGCCCTTGTGGACTGAGCCTGCCCTGCCTCCACCGAAGAGGTAACTACTGTTTCAGAATTTGAGGGTATCACTTCCTTGCTTTACCCATGAGAGGGGATCAGAATGTGGCACCCCGAAATGTGCCACTCTGGCATAAGGACTGTTCCGAGCGGAAGACAAGATGCCAAAAAGAGCCCTCTGCCCTCCCCCATCTGCCTGAAAGGACCTATCTTCCTCTTTGTGAGGGTGTGCCCCCTCTTCTCTCCTGGGCCCCCTTTGTCCCTGGAGACAAAGTTAGCACTGAGGTGGTGCTGCGCAAACAAACCTTAATAAAACAACGCTTCTCCTCCGTTAGCTTCTCCATATAAAATTCCCCAATACATTAACTTTACCCTAGAAGCCCAAACTCCCTTCCCTTTGCTTTGTCACTTCTTGTCAAATGTATTGCCCTTTATTAAAATCCATATAAGGCCCTGGGTCTGACCATCTCTTTGGGCCTCCACTGCTTTTCTACAAAGGCCTGGAGGCACATCAAAAAAAAATTAAATATTAGCATTAGATAAAAATTGTATGCCGTTTCTTCTAATTTGCCTTTGGTCAGTTTAGTTCACAGACCCCAATAGGTAAACCTAAGAGGGTAGAAGAAAGGTGTTTCTTCTTCTTCCCCTACTTGTTTGTATTCTCAGCACAGCTTTTGAGGTTTTGCTCTTTATGTGAAGGCATACTCTACTCTGTCATCTTCTGTAGCCTGTTCCATCCCGTGGGTATTAAGACGTTTTCATCATGAAACGGAGTTTTCCAGTCTATGAACATTGCATGTATTTCCCATTACGTTAAGTCCTCATTCGCATCTTTCAATACAGGTTAATAATTTTTCCACATGTCTCTCGATCTTGTTTAGATTTGTTCTTAAAAGCCTCCTATTTTGAGGCTGTTAGTTACCCTTTACAAGTTTTGTTTTTATGTGGAAATGCAGTGGCTGTTTATGTATCAGATTCTGTCCAGAAAAACGTGCCTCTTATTTTTCTGCGGGTTTGGGGGCTTTCTATAATCACAGATATTTGAGTGTCATCCTTTCCAATCTTTCTTACTGGTGCTGGGATGCCAGCCTTTGACAGTGGAGGACACTGGGGTCCAGAGCAGGAAGGGGCTGGGCTTCCCGGTTCCAGCGTGTTTGGGGGGGTCAGATCTCCGCGAGCCGGGCGGCTTTCCCACACACGGGGGGACCTCCCGGACCCTCAGCTCCCAGGCAGAGGCTGCTCCCCGAGATTCCGGCGGCCTTCAGGGTCGCCTCACCCCTCACTCCGGTCTCTGTTACAGGAAATGATGTTGGACTCGGCTTTGCCCATTGGCTAAATACTGTGGGGAGAACAGTGTTACAATCCTGGGCTCATCGTGAGCACCCCTCTTCGGTCAGCGTGTGACCTTATTTATTTACCCATCATATAGTCATAAAATTCACTCACCACATGCTGTGTTAGTAACAGTAAGGGCCTATGAAGAGAACCCCGGTTCAAGAGCAGGGAAGTTCATTTCATCTCCCTCTGTGTCCCCTTCCACACCCGCTACCCTGGGGTGGCCGCTCTCCTGACTTGCAGCAAGTGGTGGCTTCTGCTGGGAGCCCTGCTGGGGCTCTGTCGCCCCAGGAACAAAGGCCCAAGCTCTACAGGGGCACCACGGCCCCTTTTTTTTTGTCCCATGGACCCCCCAGGTAAAAGGTAAAGCCAAGAGCAGCCTTCGGAGCCGTGCCCTGAAAGGCACACAGTGAAACATACGGGCCTGTGGAGGAAACCACGGGGACTGAAGAAGGGCGCTGCGCGTTTTCAACAGTGACCAGCCTCGTGTGTGCTGCTTTACCGACACGTGAAATAACGAAACCTCTGTAAAATGCGCAAATCGGGGCCGTTACCTGGGGAGGCCCACCTGCGCGGCGGGTGGGAGTCTCCCCCACCACCACCACGCCCTGAGCTCCCGACCCTTCCTCACCCCATGTTCCCCTCCAGGGAGCGGGGTTCGCTGTGGACGAGAGGGCTGTCGGAAGAGGGCCCGCCACAAAGAGGGGCAAAGGCTGAGAGGGAGCTTCAAGCGTAGGTAGGGGACCAGGAGGTTTATTTTAGCTGCAAAATCACAGCCTGGGTGTGTCGTCAGGAGAGTCACTGGTGAGGGGACAGCACTCCCGGGGGCGTCTGTCTGATGTCTGCCAGGTTCCCCAGGGACCGCTGTCCCGTCACTGCTGTGTCCAGCACCTAGGACAGCGCCGGAAGTGGACAGAGGGACAGGTGGATGGATGGATGGATGAAGGGCTAGGTGGACGGATGTGGTATCCAAGGCCGCCCCCCTCACCACGGAGCTGGCCCACTGGACCTGGTTTCCATCCAGCTCTGGCCACTCCCTGAGGGACCTGGGCAGGCCTCTGCCTCCCGGGGGCCCAGGGTGCAGGGGGCCCTTGGGTGCGACCTTGGGGGGGGGGGGGTCTCAGAAGCCAGGCAGGTCCCTGCATCTCTCTGGGTCCAGTGCCAGCAACTGGACCAGCTGAGCCACAAGCGCTACTAAGGACCCCTCTGCCCAGGGCCCCCTCAACCTCAGACCTCGGGGAGGGCTGCAAGCAGCAGCTGGTCCCAGGGATGCCCAGGGCCCCCGAGGGGAGGCGCCTCTGGGCGGGGCCAGGACCTGTACCCCAAACTGCAAGTGCTGCTTCGGCCCCATCCCTGAGCTCCCCCGCCCCCGTGGCATGTGCCAGCCCCTGGACGCTCCTCCCCCACTGGCCACCACCCATCCTTGGCTTCCTTCTTCTGGAAGCTGGGCCCCTGCCTCCCTCCTCCCCATGTCTACAGCTTCCCCCGCCCCCAGCCCACTCCCTGGGTGCCCACCTCACTCCTCGGCCTTGGTGCTGAAATCCCCACTGCCCTCTAGTGCTAGTGGCCACAGGGGCCCTGGGCCACCGCAAGGGGCCCGTGGTGCCAGCCTGTCCCACTCCAGGTGCCCATGGTGTGCGGGGACCCTGCCAGGAAAACTGAGCCCCCCGACCTTAGCACAAAGCATTACAGGTTTATTTAAATAAAAATTTATAATTTATACAAGACTTTTTCTTTAAAAAAATGTTACGGGGCATTTTTCATCAGTTCCTCATACAGTACAATCCTTTTGTTGAACAAGTTACACTGGTAATGAGTATTTACAGATCCAAAATAGACTGGGCTCCAGACATAAAAAATGGAACATTCATTCTAGTTCAGTGATTAGTCGCAGAAATTAAACAACTCAATAAAACTCCAGGCTCTCCCCGACAGGGAGCCCGCACAGGCCCGTGCTCTTCCCGGCAGGGGCCCTGGGCTTCCAAAGAGGGACCTGCCGTGGGCCACTGTGCAGCTGAGGACGGCCACCCCGCACGTGGTCAGTTTTCATCTCCCTTGCTCCTCAGAAGGGACTCAAACCAAACCACGCCACTCTGAAGGAGGCAAGTCCATTCCACGCAGGGACACAGCCATAGCGCATGGGGACAGAGTCCCACGGTGCTGACAGGGACACGTGTCGAGCCCACAGCAGCCCCGGGGAGCGGGGCTTGAGCAGCACCCACAGGTGTCGCCCCGCAGTCACCCTGGGCCAGTTCAGGGCCCACCCTGCCTTGCCCCGGGCACAGAGGGGGTCCCCCACTGGGTGTGAACCCACAGCCCCCCCCCCAGAACCCGGTCCGCCTGCACCGACTGTGGGGCAAAGCCCAGGTCTCGGGCGGGCTCTGCCTTCGTCTCTGAAAGGTCACAAGACACCAACGCCAGGGAGACCAGGAGCTGGGCGGCCACCGCAGGGCCCCGGGACCTCACGACTGGGCCGGGGCGTGTGCTTGTCTGGCTGGTGGGTGTGGCTCCCGAGCGCACTCCGCGGGGTCCCCCCACCAAGGGGTGACAGGAGTGACGCCACTGAATCGCCCGCCCAACCAGCAAATGGGGAGCAAAGGTAAAAATTACGTCTGAAAAACGATACAAAAATAAGAAAAACAGCTTGCTCTCTGTAAAAAATATAATCTTCTGTTTCTTCAAAAAACAACGATCTCCGTGACACCCAGAGGACTCAGGACAAGCTGAGGGGCCGGAGGTGCCCATGTCGGGAGTGTGCCGAGCACGGGTGGCCCCGCCATCTCCTGGGCGTGTCCGTCCCCGAGGCCTTTGGCCAGTCAGTCCCAATGGGACACCGCGCCTGCGAGACGCGCGCTCTGACCTCCCCGAGAGTGAGGGCTCTCCCCGCTCCCCGCCGAGTGTGTGCAGGCGCTAGGGCTGCGGACCCCGACCTCTGGGCTCTGCTCGCAGTCACTCCCCAAAGCCGGCTGACCTCCCCAGCGTCCCCGCACAGCCCCCATGGGCAGGCCCTCTGCCAGCCTGGGCCCCCTCGGGCCTGAGGCGCTCTGTCCACTCCCACCCCAGCACAGCAGCCTGGAGGCGGGGGCGGCCCCGGGGCTCGGAGCACCCCCGAAGCGGCCGTCCTCCTGGGCCTTTGCACCGCACGGCACTCTGCCTCCTCCTGAGGAGCTGATCTCGGGCCCCCGGCCAGCTGGTCAGCACCGCGCTCCCAGGACGTGCACGGGGGTCTCCCTAAAGGACGGGCCCGTTCATGGCGCTGGCCAGGGGCCCCCACGTCGCCTGTCGCCGGCGTCCTTCACCCCGGGGAGGGCCCCGTGTGCTCCTCATATGGCTTTGGTGTGGCAGAGCTGCTGGCCTCCGAGAGCCGGGGTGCGGCCGCGCCGGTCTCCACCCGGTGGGGACAGAGAAGGCACAGCTGTGCTTGGCGGTGTGTCCTGCGTGTCATCCTTCCCGGTGGCCTCGCGTCCAGAAGACGCGCCCTCGAGAGTCCCGACCCCTAAGCGAAGGGGTCTGTAAAACGCAGGGTCAACACAATAGAAACCACAGATCGGGGGTGTGGGGGGGGTTATTGCAAAAGATGTCCAATTTTTCTCCACTACCGAATTGTTAAAAAAAGAAAAGCTCCCAGCGACGTCACGGCGAGCCAACGCTAGCTGTCACCGCCTGATGCTGCCGCCGCCGTGATCTTCATGTACTGGCTGAAGATGGTCTCGAACGCCTCGTCTCTGTGCACCATGGCGCCGAACACCAGCGGCTGGCGGGGAGGGGAAGCACTGGCAGTGTGTCCACGCGCGGCCAGGTCCACACAGAGCCGCCGCCGCCCCCGCCCAGCACCTGCGCTGGGCCCCAGCCTCCTGCCCAGGGAGGGAGGGGGATTCCCAGGCCCCTCTGCCCAGCCGACCTGCGCTCAGAGCCACGCCCGGCCCCCGCCCAGCACTTACTTTCTGTGTTGATGGCGTGGACACGGCAATCCCCATGCCCGACCCCGGGAGGACGGAGAGGACCTTGTACTGAAAGCCAACGGCGTGCCTGTCACCACGGGCCCCCCTGGAGATGGGGCCACCCTCCCCACACCCCAGGGTGCTCTCCACGGAGCCCCAGACGGGCCTGGGCCTCCCCAGCCAGCAGAGGACGAGGACTGACGGTGTGAGCGGAACACTAGACCTGCTGACACACCCGCCCAGCCTCGCCGGGGCCCCCCAAGGAGCACCACGTGGGGGGAGCAGGTCCCCCAGCCCAATCTTGCTCCTCCGACCACACATGTCTCTGGGAGGGAGGGACCCACCACAGCCACAGGGGTGCTCCTGACACACCCTCAGAGGGAAGGAGACGCTGCCCAGCGGACCCCTGGGGGCCCACCCAGGAGGCCCAGAGGGGGCGTGGGTGGACCTGGCCCCCCCACCCCCGCCAGGTGTGTGTGTCAGGCTCTGCGCACACCTGTACCTGCTCCACGTGACACGACGGAAAGTGCTGGGAAGCGCCGGAGACGGGACAGCCTGCCCCAGGGGGAATGTCTCAGGGCCAAGGGGCAGATGGCTGCCGGGGCCCAGCTCACTGCCCACCCCACCCCCATACACACCGTCCGTGCGAGGACACCAGACACCGGTCCACCCGGCAGAAGAGAGCGCACAGCCCGCGGCACGTGGATACCCCACGACGGGCCGCGGGGCTCCTCACAGACACCGCCTAGAAGCGGGGACCTACCGCGGGGCCTGCCCGACAGTCCAGACGGCACCCCTCGTTTTGTTCTAATCGCACCCCGCTCCCAACTCGACCGCCGGCTTCGCGACCCCGCCGCTCCTCCGCTCCTGAGACTGGGGGTGAGGGCGAGCAGGGGCCGCACCCACCTTCTGGATGTCCGTGATGTCCACCAGCTTGATGACTTTGTTCCTCTTGGAGAAGCCGGACTTGGAGCTTTCGAAGCACAGGTAACTACCGGCGCCAGGGGGCAGGGGTGGACAGAGCACAGCCCAGCAGGTGAGCCAGAGGGGACCGTGCCCGGCGGCTGCAGCCACAGCCCAGACACAGGGCCCCCTCACCTGCTGCGACGCGCTGGCCTCTTACAACCGATTTCATTTTTACCGAGTCTCACAGCTTCTCAGGTTCAAACCCCACTGCTCTACACTAAACCCGACTCACGTTTCCATGACGTGAGCATCCCCAGGACGCCCAACAAGAGACGTGTGTGTCGGTCTCCTCGGCCAGTTCCTCCAGCGAGGGAGTAGAGACGAACAGGTGGTCCTTGGCTGACAGTGGGGGGCAAGGTGGCCGAGGGACCCCAGGGCTAAGAACAGACCCCACCCTGCACCTGCTCCGCCCCCTCCCACCCCTGGGGGTAGCTGGGCTGCTACACCCCAGAAGGAGGGTAACAAGAACCCTGCTGCCGCCCTGGGGCCAGGGACCTGGCTGGGGGAACCGCACGGTTCCCGCCACACGACGTTGAGCACCCAGACCAGGGCATCCCGGGGCCTGGGGAAATGACGGTATGCGGCCCCGGCTGCGTCCAGCTCAGAGGCAGCACCTCCCCACCCGGGGGGCCGGGAGCCAGCAGGAGTTGGGGTCTCGGCAGGGCTAGGGGTCCCCACGGCTGGGCCGCCCTGGACCGCGGGGCCTGCGAGGAGCCCCCTCTAATCCTGGCCCCCGCCGGAGGGCGCGCCCGCCCGCAGCCGCAGACAGCCTCACTCACTTCTCCGTCACGTACAGGACCCCGTTCCTGATGTAGTCGGTCGGCATCTTGCGGTCTCTGTTTATCAAGCAGCAGCGCCAGCCGCTCTCACACACTGACGGGGACAAAAGCGGCCCGTGACCTTTCCTACTGGAAACACCCACCCTCTGACTTGACGCCGGAACCCTCAAGCACTGGCTTTTCAAGGATGTGCTGACGTTCACCCTCCACCACCAGATGAAACCCCCAGCGGGAGGAAAGTGGCCTCTGAGCGCCTCTGGAAAGCACATGTTTCCCCTCCCGTGTCAACGGGCAGGGATTTTGTTGTTTTTTATTTCTAAAGGAAAAGCACAATTTAAATCAAACTACGGCCACGACTCTCAAGGTTCACGGTCTGGGTCAGCAGAAAAGGGGCTCAGGAGAAGGTCAAAACTTAAATTCTCCAAAGTTCTCTTTCTGCAGTTGGTATCACACACGACACAGGCCAAGCCGTTTAAGGGCCCCCGACCCGCCGCACGGAGAGCCGGGCAGCGCAGGAGTTTCGGGGGAGGCCGAGCAGGGCCCTGGGCTCCCGAGTCACCTGTCACCACCCAGCTTTCTAGGAGGCCACAGCAAGGGACGAGCTGGCCAAGGCGGGACCGGGAAGCCCCTGCACGCGTGGCGCTCTGCGGCTCCGCTTCGGGGCCGGCCGGCCTGCCTTTCCGCTGTCAAGCCACCCACTGCAGACGCGCTCGGCCCCTCCGACCCACCCGCCCAGGGCGCCCCGGAAGGCGGAGGCGGGCGGCCGGCCCTCCCTCGGCCCCCGTCGGGCCCCCCAGCACTGGGGCGGGCGACCCCGCCTGGCCTGGCCACGGGCTCAGTACACACGTACCCGCCAGCGGACGCTCGTTTTCTGTCAAGTTAAAGATTTCATGGAAATTGCTCTTCTTGGCGCCGTGGACGCGGCTGGCGTCCTCGTCCTTGCTCAGGCCGGCGGGCGCGCTGGACACGTAGCTCCGCGAGGAGGCCGTCTGCGGCTGCCGAGGGCACACGACGTCCCCGTCAGCCCCGCCGGCCGGCCGGCCGGCCGGGGTCGGGGGGTGGGCGGGCGGGAGAGGGGCGGGGCCGCGCGGGGACGCACGCACGCAGCCTCGCTTCGCCCCGCCCAGGCCTCGCCCCGCCCCGCCCAGGCCCCGCCGCGCACACGTGGACGGACTAGCGGAGAGGCAGGCACACCCAGACGTGGGGCCGCGTCCTCCTCGCCCACGAGCCCTCGCCTGGGCACAGCAGCCCGGCTGCGGCGGGCAGACCCTCTCCCCGCGACGGCACGCCCCAGGCACTGTGCCGAGCCCGACCCAGCACGTGCGGTCAGTGCGGAACCGTCAGGCGCTCACGCCCGCGCTGCGGACACCGGGACCGGCCGCAGGACAGGCCACCGAGAGCAAGGTTGGCAAGTCAAACGGAGTCAGACCACAGCAGCGCGCGGCATCAGGGCACGGCGTGGGGGTGTGGGTACCACACGGACACCGTACCTTGTCGTGTCCGACAGCTGGCCGGACGGGACCACACGCACGGTGGAAAGGTGGGTCCTCGTGACACGAGGCGGTAAACACCAGCTGAGCAAGCAGCACGCGCATACACATGGCCGCGGGACGCCCTGGTGGGGTCGCCCTCCACCCCGGGAAGCCTACCCCCAGCCTCTCGGGTCTATGACACTCAGGGAGCCAGGCTGCCTGCTCTTGGGCCTCACCCCTTGGGTCCACCTCCGTCTGTGTGACCAGAGCCCACCCACCGGCTCCCCAAGGTGCAGGCTGCTCCTGCCTGCCCGGCTGCACACCTGGCTTGCGAGTCTGGGGCCCCAACAAGCTTTGTTGTCCTAGAACCCAGGAAGCCTGACCCACACTTGACCCAGAGCTTCCCTCCCACGGACAAAAGCGTCAGTTCCCAGACACCCTTTCTTCAGAGAACACTCATACACGAGACTCTGAAATCCCAACGTCACCTCCTCCAGGAAGCCCTTCCACACCTCCATGGAAGTCCTATTGAGCCCAGAACGTCCCCACTAGTCTGAGACCCCAGGAAGAGCACCAAGGCCAGCTTGCCCTCCTCGTCCTGGCTCTGGACAGGGTGCCTAATGCCCACACGGCCTCCCACCTAGTCCCAGCCCATGAGCTCAAAATGTGCCCATCTCGGCCTTGCTGTGCCCTTGCTGGGAACAGCAGGGACCCGGCACCCACCCAGAGAGCAGTCACTCCCAGGGCTCCCCGCTCCCAAGGCTCCCAGGGTCTCGGCAGTCACGGCCAACGCCCTGTACCCTCCTGCCCTTGGCCTGGGGGCCGGCCTCGCCTGGCGGGGCCCACTCCCCAGCCAATCTAGGTGGGTAGGGGCCCCCCGACCAGCCTCCAAAGCACTGCACAGCCTCCCGCAGCAGCTGTCCCCTGCCCAGGGCTGGCCGGCCCCAGGGTGCCCGCCCTGGACTTTGGGACAGCAGAGCCGGTCACAGTGAATCCACCCCCGCAGTTGTCTTAAGTTGTCTGTTTCAAGGGCCCCGAAAATCAGAGACACCAGCCTCCCCGCAAGCCGGAAGTGAGGGACAGTGGAGTGTGGCCGGTACATCTCCCGGCCGCTGTGGGGCCTACCCTGCGTGACACGGCGGTGCTGGAGCGCTCCTTGAGCTGGGGGTCCGTAGGGAGGCTCTTCCAGATGATGTAGGGAGTGTCATACTTGGCTCTCAGCCTCGGGCAGCGTTTGAAGATAAAATCGATGACAAAAAGCTTGATTCCGGCATAGAGTCCTGGGGGCAGAATGAGGTCCCATTTCTCCAGGATCCTGTGGCCCTGCCCCCGTGGCCAGCACAGCGGTCCCCGCCCCGCCGGGCACTCCGTGGAGGGCCTCCTGGGACCCAGGTGTGGGCCGATGGTCCTGGGGTGGTTACACAGGGCAGGGAAGTGACCCCAGCTGAAAGGGAAGCCACTTCTGTGTATGTTGTTACCTCCAACCCAGAGGTGGCTCAGGCCAAACACTAACCTGTCCCTAACGAGTCACCATCCTCCAAAGGGGACGTGAGCAGGACTTCGGGGGACCCGTCCCCAGCCTGACTCGGTGAGCCGGCAGTGACAGCCAGGGGCTCCCGCCTCCCAGTCAGGGCACCTGCGTTGGCCCAGGTCCCCAGAGAATCGAGACAGCCCGGAGCACGCTGCACTTGCGTTGGCGTTTGTCATTCCCCCCACGGCCTCACTTGCCTGCCCTGGTTTTCCTGGCGAGGGGTGTGGTGAGGGGGCGAGAGACTGAGGACCCACCTGCACATTGGGGGCCGAAGGGCAGGTGGGCACAGTGCCCAGACCATGAGGCCCCCGAACTGCGTGACCGCCACAGCCAACACTCCAGCTCAGGCCGGGCGCCCCCTGCCCGCCCCCCACCCACACACTGTGGACGGAGCTCGCGGTGCTGATCAGATGGCGCGTCGCGCTGACCGTCCGGCAGGCTCCTTACCCACGGCCAGCCCCACCAGGCGGTAGGGGAAGAAGCAGGAGGCGAGGAAGGCGGCCCACAGCGCGATGTACAGCTTCTGGGTGATCTCAGGCTGCACCCACATGAACAGGCTGGAAAGGAGAGGGGAGGTTCAGCCAGGTGGCGGGCGCAGCCTAGACGCGGCCGGCCAGGGGCTGACGACTTACTTCTTGATCTTTTCCAAGATGTCAGCCATCTTGCCAAAGAGGTTCTGTGTGAAGAAGCAGCTGTGGTCACGACACACCCCCGGGGCCACAAGGCAATGCTGGAGACGCCCAGCGCCTGGGAGACCATGGCCGGCACCATGGAGCCCGTGGTCCTGTCCAGCCGCTCCCAGGCCGAGGACCGGGTGATGGTCCGGTCCGAATCACGGGCCTCCACCAACTGGGGCGCCGGCGTCAGACCAAGCCAAGAGGGCCCTCCCCACCAACCGGGTTGTCTCGGGTGTCAGCTCCCAGACAAGCCAGGTCTGGAGGGCTGGGTAGCTGGGGTCCCCCAACCTGGAGCCCGGCAGCGGTACCTGGGCTTTCTGGGCAACGTCCAGCACGAGCTGGAACTTCTCAGACACGGTCAGGTCTTCCTTTGGAGGCTCCTTCAGTCAAAGGGGAAAGAGAATTTCCACTGAAATTTATCAGTTCAGAGAAATTACTGACAAAAACAGCAAGGAGGCCTCCCAGCCCAGGCAGGGACCAGGTCTCTGCTGCCCTGACACAGTCAGAGGGACGGGCATCCCTGGGGGGCCCAGCCCGAGGGGGCAGCACGGGCAGCTGTGCTAGCTGACACCCGTCTGGTGCCTGAGAGGGTGGTAGGCAGCCCCCCAGGTGGGCAGGGCTGCTTGAACAGATCACCTTCAGAGGCGCATCTGAGACCACGGAGCCCGCGCCCACCCGCACTTTACAGGCGGGGGAACTGAGGTCCCAGCAGGGGGCCGACTTCGTCCTGCTTGTCTGAGTTCATTCAGCAAGGACCTCCCTAAGACCTCCAGGTACCAGGGCCAAAGGGCACAGGCCTGCCTCCCCAGAGACACCCTTCCTGACCCCTGTCTAAAGGGGCCCCTGCAGACGCCACCACATCCTGCACCCCTACTGTGTGCTCCACGCGCATGGTAGGTGCTCAAACACCCGATGAAGCCCATGGACGCACCATGGCCTCCCTCCTGCCTGTGCCCAGTGGTTCAGCCCCACGGGCCAGAGTCCCCCGTAGAGTGGTGGGCAAACTTTCTGTAAAGGGCCAGGTGGTAAGCACGTGTGCCTCTGCAGGCCCAATGGTTGGTCGCAGCAGCCAAGCTGCTGCAGCCCCAAAGCAGCCAGAGCGTAAACAAACAGGCGTGACGGACACCAATAAAAACTGGTCCAGCCCGTCCATCGTTCACCTCCCTCCACGGGAGGCTGTGAGCGGCTACAGGGGCCCCCTCCCTACCTCCCCTCCACATCACGTCCCAGCTGAGGAGGGTCAGGTCAAGCCAGGCCCGGCCAGGCCAACCTGCCTCCCACGCAGCCAAGCCCAGGCTCGTGAAGGGCGCTCGGGCATCAGCTGGCGAGGGGTCAGGGTGCGGCCACGCAGGGCTCCGGGGGGGGGGGGGCGGCTGGCCTCTTCCCCGACCTCTCCTCGCCTGGCAGGGCTCCCCGCCGGCGTCCATGCAGCCGCACCTGGAGGCCTCGGGGGACCCACAGGCCCCGCACAGCACTGGCAAGTAGAGCCTGGCCCCCCTGGCGACGGAGCCCCTCCCAGGACTCACCACCACTTCGGACACTTCAGGCACGATGCTCCACTGTATCCTCCAGCCCCTGGCAAACAGGAGACAGCACGCCTTTACAACAGCATCGTCTGCAGGCGGTGGCCGTAGAGGGGTGACGTCAAGTCACCAGGCCTGTGCTCCCAACGAGGAGCCGCCCCCAGAAATTTTGGCCACTGGGACAGGAGCTTCAGAAACACCCGGCCATCTGCCGAGACCAGCAGGACCCCCTCCTAGGCTCCAGAGAGATGACCCAGGTCACCCCCACAGATCCCTCCCCAGGGGCCCTCCTCGGGGTGGACACACATTTACAAGCACCCAGAGGTGACGGGCCTCTCAAAGTAAGTCAAGGAAGTGGCAACGGCAACAACTTTAGTGAACCACGTCTAGTCTGGGCACGGAGAACCCTTTCATAAGCGCTTAAAAGTTTTCTAAGAGAAACATTTTCAAATGAACCAACTTAGGCAACCGCACAGAAGCACCTAGAAAAACAGTGTATAAAGTACTCTTTGGAACGGCTCAGTGAAAATACAGAAAGCAGGGCCTCCTCTTAGGCCCGACGTGAAGCTGGGGTTCACTCTGTGGGGCGACCTCAGGTCCACACAGACCCGGGAGGGCCCGGGGATGCGGGGTTCCCACCCCAGCGTGCTGGCTTCCAATAGCACCGCCCGCCCCCAGCCTCGAGATGGAAAGCGGGTGCTCGGAGAGGGCGCAGGGAAGACACTGCATGGCCCCGGGCTCACTGAGTCCCAGCGCCTCTCCGGCACCTGCACCCCGACCAGTGGGCACCTCCCAGGGCACAGAGCCGCTGCAGCCCCGTCAACCACGCCTCCGCCCACTGGGATATCACTGTTGAGGTGTGTGTGGAGGGGGGACTTTCCTGCCCAAAAGCAGCACGACCGGAGGAGGGGCCGGAGTGGCCCCAGAGCCGGCACCCGCTGGCAGCCTGCTGGACAGAGCTGCTGGGGTTTGGGGATCACCCTGCCCGCTGCAGCAAACCATCCTCCTGGGGGCTCAGGGACTATTAGAGGACAACCTCCCAAAACGCCAGCACGTGACACAGAGCCGGCTCGGCACGTGCCCTGCCGTGCGTGTAACGCAGGAAGACGGCACAGCCGCGCACACACAGCACACTGGCGCACCTACCTGGCTATGAGGTAATTGAGGGATAACCTCAAAATTGCTAGAAATAAGAACATGGGGATGGCCCAGCCATGCCACACGGCATTCATGTACACCTGCGGGTTTGGAGAGAAACGGGTCGGGAGGGAGACGGTTAGGCGACCTGCCCGCATGGGTCAGGGCAGACCAGATCCCTCTCTCCCCCAGCCAGGCGGGCCGCACTCGCAGGTAGGGAGACCAGGCCCCAGCGGCCCTCCGCAGGCCCAAGGACCAGGGCACGCAGCGCAGACAAACCCGCTCAGGGAGGAGGTGAGGTGGAAACACTGCTCTGGGTGGGCTGGGAGCGGTTATGCCCCGGAAGGAGCAGCCTGGACGTGGCCTGGGATCACAGGAGGAGGGCTGACCCCACAGAGAGGTCCTGGCCCACCGCCGCTGTGGGCCCACCTGGCAGAGCCGGAGGCATCCGCGTACCCAGCACTGCTGACAGTCCACCCCGCGCCACAGGGCAGGCAGGGTGCTGGGCATAGCGCTAGCGCTCAGAGAGGGTAGGGGACGGATGCAGCGGGTTCAGGAGGAGGCCTGGCAGGTGGTCTGAACGGCGGGCAGGGTTAGCTCAGCCGTAACACACAGGCGGAACTAGGGACCTGGGACCCAAAGCAGCCGAGGCCCCATGGAGCAGAGTGCTTGTGAAGGGTGGCCGGAGGAGACCTCCAGGGTGAAGGGGGCTGGCCCCTGGCCACCACGGCCTGTCCTCTGCATGTGCACACAACACCCATCTCCCTGGTGGACGGGGGGCCCCTGGGGCTTCAGGGCGGCCCTCAGGACCCTCTCAGGCGGAGGCCACCTATGGGGGCCTCTGCAGAGATGGGGCCTTTGGGGGCTGTGGCTCTCCCTCTCCATCCTCCTCCCGCTGGACAGCAGGGTCTCCCCGGGCAGGGCTGGGAGCAGCCACCGCAGGACAATTCAGATTGCGACTGGGCCTGTCTTCCCCAAAGCACCCCGTGATGCTGGCCCAATGCCACCTACCTTCCCCAGGCCTAGTGGCCTGCTTGGCCCCTAGGCCACTGTTCGCCTGCCAGGAGCCTCCCCCAGGCGCCGGTGCCTGATGGGAGGGACGGCTGGTTTCTGCACAAGCAGACAGACCGCCCCACCGGCCCTTCCCCAACCCACTTGGGAAAGTCGGCCATAAGCTTGGCACGAGGCCCTCTCCCAAGAACGCTGCTGCGGGGATTCTGGGCAGGCGGGGAGCCCCACTGCCAGCCCCAGGCTGCACCCTACAACACCCTTATCCAGTCCTTACAACTGCCCTGCAGCCCACTTTACAGACGGAAACACCAAGGCCAGGAGCTGTCCCACACGGCAGGGATGGGTGGGTCCCTCAGGAAACCTCAGGGAGGGTGCACACCCCACCACCCACCCGCGGGGAGCGCTCACGGTGAAGGCGATGGCAGACGTGTAGACAGAGTACCAGTCGGATAAGGCAGAGAGGTTCTTCACAAAGCTGGTGACAGGCTTGGCACCGCGCTCTGGGGACAGAACGGACCATGCGGTCAGGCCAGCGCTAGCCCGGCCCTCGGACACACCTGGCAGTCCGGCTGCTGCACCAGCTGGCGGTGCGGGGCGGGGGAGGGAACCAAAAGGAGCAAAGCAAACCCCAACCGTCGCGGGCTCCCGGCGCGCCTGACCCCAGACCAGCGCTCCCGCGGCCACTCCCTGGCTGCGGCCCGTCCTCCATCCCCGCGGGGAGACGTCTGTCTGCCTGTCTGCCTGTCTGCCCCGGCCCGTGCCTGCAGGCGGGGAACGGGGGTTTAGTCCGCACACCCCGGGCCCTGACAAGTATCTGGAGAAGCACCACGTTTCGCTGGGGCTCCCAAGGCCTGGAGGGAAACTCGGCTTTTGGCCACGGGCGAGGGGCGGACAGACAGACGGGGTGGGCCTGGGACATACTTCCCACAGCCTTAGGAAGAAGCCTGGGCTGGGAACTCCTGAAAAAAGTGCTTCCAAAGCAAGTCCAGTTCAGTGCAAGACCGCAGTCACCGCCCGGGCAGCCCCGGCCCCAGCGGCTCACACAGCCACAGCGACGAGCGGGTACTTACTAAGTCCACGCCGGGTACTTACTGAGCCTCCTCATGTTCTCGGTCAACCTAAGAGGGGGGAAGAGATGAGCGCCAACACCCACTGGGCCGCAGCCGCGTCCTGACCCCGCAGCTCCCTGCGGGCCCTCGGGGAGCACGGGTGACCCACGGGGGGAGGCTTCCTCGTCTCCTGCCCACGCCGCCCCCACCTGAGTCTGAGGGCCCGGCCCAACCCGCAGGCATTCTCGGGGTCGCCACCGTCCCCGCGTGGCCGTCTGTCGCAAAGCACCAGTACGACCACTGACTGGGGGCACGGCCGTGCAGCCGCCCCCACGAAACCTCCCCGGCTTTGCTTGCCGGCCCCGAGGAGTCCTGTCCTGCCGGGACGGCTGCCCCTCCACCCCGACCTCCACCTGGGCCCCACCTCCGGGCGCTGAGGGGCTCCTCCGTCTCCACCGTGCTCTCCTCGGGCTGGAACCGGAAGTCCTCCACGTACTCCCCGAATTTCTCATAGAACCACTTCTGGACACGGGGGCACAGCCCCTGGCTCCGTCGGTCTGCAGGACGGGGTGGGGTTCTGGGTGAGGGCACCAGGCCGAGAGGGGTCTTACAGAGCGGCAGAGGCGGCGGCACGGGCAGGTGGGGCTCCCGGCCAGGCCGGCGAGGGCACATCCACGCCAGAACCGTGAGGGGCCGGGTGCCCTGAGAACAGAGCCCGATCCACTTCGCCACACGGTGCAAACCAACCAATGCAGACCCCGGGGGTCCCCGTGTTCCTCACACCGACCCCCGGCTTGTTGGAGGCTGTCCCCGGCGCAGGTGCCGTCCAGGCGGGCTCTCAGCCCACCGCTGGTGCTGCGTTGATCACCGCCCCCTGCCGGGCACACTGGTTGGTCTGGGAAGTGGCCAGGTAGGCTCACTCCCAGGGACACCCGGACCCTGGGGAACAGCCAGTGGGCATGCGTCAGCGGCTGCGGTCCGCTGGGGACCCCAGGGAGTGAAGTCACCCACGTCAGACTCGAGAAAGCCAGCCCGAATCCCGCGGAGTCCCTTCGGAGAGCAGGCCGTGGAGTCGCCTGCAGGGGGCGCCGTCCCACCACAGTCAGAGGGGGATGGAGTGCACGCAGGGGGTCGTGTGCTGCCAGCTCGAAGGGACGGAGGGGGTGGAAGGCGGCGCACACAGAGGCCGCGAGGCTCAGAAGTGCCCAGAGGAGGGGCGGCAAGGGCCCGGGGTTCTCACAGCCCACGTGGAGCACGACAGGGTCTTTAGGAGGAGGGTCTAGGCAGGCTCAGCCCTATAACCGCTTGGACAGCAGCCGTGGACAGTGAGTAATGGGACGGGCGTGGCTGCGTCCCCATGAAACCACGCTGACAACGCTGAAATTTAAATTTATGCAACGTTCCCGTGTCAAATCCTTTTGATTTTTTTTCAACCATTTAAAAGTGTAAAAAGATTTTTTTCAATGTAAAGGCAGATGGGGAGCTGTAGTTCACCGACCCCAGGTCTAGGTCAGGCGGGCTGCCCGAGTGGACAGGCCTCACGGCGCTCCCGAGCCCCACTCTGCCCCAGCACCACGCAGAGCACCCGTCCCCGCCACCTCCGTCCTCGGGGCTGCGCTTGGTGGGGTCCTTCCCTCCCTGCCCACACTCCCCACCTCCCACGCAGAGCACCCGTCCCCGCCACCTCCGTCCTCGGGGCTGCGCTTGGTGGGGTCCTTCCCTCCCTGCCCACACTCCCCACCTCCCACGCAGAGCACGACACGGTGACCCCGCTGTGGGTACGGGGTGGAAGGACTCTCGCCTGACAGTTCCCACGAGCACAGGAGGCTCATCAACTCCACACACAGCAGGGGCCTTGGCGGGGGGCGGGGAGGGGGGGGTGCTCCAGCGCTGCTCCTGGCTTGGAACCTGGGCCACTGGTCATGAACCCTGAGAACCCAGGGGACCGTGACCCGGTAGACACAGCAGCCAATGCCTGTCTGCGGGCCCAGCACCCGGGAAAGAGGCGTCTCCCTCTCTGGACGGCAGGTGGGGAGTCAGGACCCGGCTCTGGTCTGAGCTCAGCCTCCACCTGGAGCGGAAGCCTGAGAGGCCTTCCCTCCCGGGCCCTGGTCTCCTCACCTTTACACTGGGCAGGGCTTAACCGAAGGCCCTCCTGTTGTAGCCCTGAGCCCCCAGCACAGGCAGGGGCTTACCGTCAACCCTAACCCTATCCCCTCTCCCACCTTCTCAGCCCGCGAGGGGCCTGGGTGCACCACAAATCCGGCCCCTCGAGATGCCCAGTTTCCTCCCATGCCGTCCTCTGAAGGACAGTTTCAGAACGTGCCAAGTGCTAAGGGAGACACGGAACCCGAGCCCGGGTGGGAAGAAAAGGCACTGAAAGCAGCTCTGCGTCCTGACCTGGGGGTGCTGGGGCACAATGCCCGCAGCTGACCCCACCTCCCCACTCGCCCCCTTGTCAGGACAGCCGGCCTCTGGAAGCAGGTCGCCAGGCCAGAGGCCAAGCAGCCACTGTGACCACGACATGATTCCTCTTCGGGGAAGGGCTGGGAGAGATGTCGCATTGTATTTTTAGGAGAAAATAAAGTCATGTTTTGATCGAATGCCTCGCATCTGCTACGGAGACTCACCAACCGGTAATCAGAGACACTAACCCAGTTCCAACAGGAGGGGATGCCCGGAAGTGAGCAAGTGCGCCCAGGAACAGAACCACCCCCCCACCCCATCTCCATCCCCCAGGCCTACCTGCTCCGTTATTGACCTGGGCCTGCCCTTTCGGAGGCTGCTGAGCGGGCGGCTCCTCGGCTCTTAGAGGGGGGAGAAGAAGCAAGATCTCTGTTAGTTCAAGACAGCATGATGAGTCCCGGCTTCGCAAGGTTCCCGCAATCACGGGAGTCACGCCCAACACCAGAGTGCCCGTTCCCACCCTCGGGGATCCCTCTGGGGTCCTGGGTGCTCAGCTCAGACGCCGGGTGAGGGCAGTAGGGCAAGCACAGAGCTGCATTCCTCACGGGCACACTTTATTTATTTAGTTCGTTATTTTTGGCTGTGTTGGGTCTTCGTTTCTGTGCGCAGGCTTTCTCTAGTTGCGGCGAGCAGGGGCTACTCTTCGTTGCGGTGCCCGGGCTTCTCACTGCGGTGGCTTCTCTTGTTGCAGAGCGCGGGCTCTAGGCGCAGGGGCTTCAGTAGTTGTGGCACGTGGGCTCAGTAGTTGCAGCTCGCGGGCTTTAGAGCACAGGCTCAGTAGTTGTGGCGCGTGGGCTTAGTTGCTTCGCGGCTTGTGGGATCTTCCCGGACCAGGGCTCAAACCCGTGTCCCCTGCATTGGCAGGCGGATTCTTTACCACTGCGCCACAAGGGAAGTCCTACACTTCTTGTCTTTTGATGACCAAACACTGTCTCAAACATACAACTCTTTTCGTTCCTACTAATTTTGACCCATTTGCTTCTCTATTTAATGTTAAGCTCAGAATACACAGCTCTCATACTAGTTACTTGGCCTGCTAATGAAAAGGTACTCAGTGACACACATATTTAGCAAGCACCATGCAAGGCCACAGGCTGGATGAGCCCCTGCCCGGCAAGCTGTGCACAGGTCCCAGCTTGGTCCATGCCGGCCACCTGCCCGGCTCCCTGCCCCTGCGGCCTCACTGCACCTGACCACAGCAGTCACCCGGCCTCAGAGCCTCCCTGGAGTTCCTGGCCACCTGCCGGATCCTGACCGCAGACCTGACTTTCAGCCACAGGCCCTGACGGACTGGCCCCCAGCCGCTGGCCGGACCCCCTTGCCTTGGGCAGTGCCCTGTCCCTGACTGGCCAGCCCACCTGCCCTCCTCACCCTGCACTGGCCTGAGCTACCAACACGCCACACTGCTGCTGTGGTTCCCAGTGCAGCAGAGATCCCAGGCAAACCTCGGCAGGACTGGGGTCGGGGGGGCACGGAGGGCTCTGCCAGGACAGAGACAGCGGGCTGGGAGACCCTCGGCACCCTGCTCTGTTAGCACAATGTGACCTTGTCATAGGGAAGAACCTTTGTATCCTATCACAAGTTCATCACTAAAGAGATGTTGCCTATAAGCTTAAATTATACATAGTGGCCCATCTCCGGGAACCCTGCCTCCCAGGTAATGAGCGTTAAGCTAAAACATCTCTGTTTAGTTCACAGGAAACCTCCTGCCCAGGCCCACCTGTGAATGACTGCAGGGAGGAAGAAATGAACACATCCCCTCTGGGGGCTGACGGGAACCAGGAAGTGTTTGGCTTTACTCTCCCTCCCCTTTTCTTATAAAAGGAGCCTGGGGCTTCCCTGGTGGCGCAGTGGTGGAGAGTCCGCCTGCCGAAGCAGGGGACACGGGTTCGTACCCCGGTCCGGGAAGATCCCACATGCCCCGGAGCGGCTGGGCCCGTGAGCCATGGCCGCTGAGCCTGTGCGTCCGGAGCCTGCGCTCCGCAACGGGAGAGGCCACAGCGGTGAGAGGCCCGTGTACCGCAAAAAAAAAAAAGGAGCCTGAATTCTAAGTCAGGCAAGATGGTTCTTTGGGGTCACAAGCCCACCATCCTCTTGGTCTGCTGGATTTGGGAATAAAGTCGTTATTCCCTGTCCCAACAGCTCGCCTCTCGATGTTGGCCGGTCGTGCAGTGGGCAGTACAAGCTTAGACCCGGGAACAGTCCCACTCCAGCGTCTCCGTGAACCAACCCACCCTGCGGGTTTATAACCTGGAACTGCAACCCATGCCGGCCGCGCTGTGCCGAAGCAGGAAGCGCGGAGGACAAGCTGGATCAGAGGAGAGCAGGGGGCGAGCCTGCAGCCTCGTGAAGCAGTGGCCAGGGAACCATGAGACAGAGGGGGTCCCAGAGAAGGGAGCCAGGGTGGAAGAGGAGGGGGCCAGGCCTCCACGCCCACCCCTCCCTGTGGCCAGGCTGCCCAAACGGCCATCCATGCTCAGAGCTACTGACAAACGGGGATTTACTGGGAACAGGAGGGGAGCTGGGGCACGCAGGAGACTCCAGACTGGGTTCCCTGTGTTCTGGGCAGGTGTCCAGGCCTCCGGACCAGGACATTCCCTGAACCGGCCGGGGGTCCTGAAGGGGCAGCTCACACAGGAAGCACTAACAGATGGGCTCCCACCAGAGCCTGGGCCCAGGTGTGCTACCGAGGACTCGTGGGCCTGACGGACAGCGCATCGCTCAGCCACAGGTGGGCCTGGGGCCTGAGTGGCCGGCAGGGCTGTCTGGGGTGCTGTGCTTGGTACCCATCTGGCTTGCATCTGAGGATACTGGTACTGCACAGCCACTGGCTGTGCGATCTTTCCAACATAGCCACCGCTAGAATCGGACGGGTATTTAGGTATAAATGGGCTGCCAGCTGCCTGCAGGGAAAGACTGCTGGCAACATGGGCGCAGGTGTTCCAGGTGGCGGGGAATTTTACCTTCTTCCCGTCACACCACACGTGGAACATCTGAGTGCCTGTGACGTGGGAAACAGACTGACAACACAGCGCACGGCAATGATGTTCTAAACATTAAGGGGAAGGCAGAGGGCAGACAGCGTCTCAGGGCCTCCCAGCCGGGCGCACCCACAGCTCCGGGTCGGTGGGGAGTGAGCGGTGCCCTCATCAGGAGGAAGGGCGCTTGCGCTCCGGGTAACTGTGGATTCTTCCAAATGTTCTGGAACAACCTCCGCTGATGTTTAACGGTCAGCGGAACACGTCTGGAGTGGAGTGTGCCTGGAGGGCTTTTCTAGAATCTAATCATCCCGCCGGCAACAACCCGAGGCCGCAGGACAGGTGACGAAGCCCACGGGCGGGGGGGTGCCAGGGCCACACGTCAGGAGGCAGTCACCGGGGTCTGGGTAGTTCCCACACGGGGTGCCCCGGCCAAAGCCCCGGCCAACACCGTGGGCAGTGCGGCACAGGACGATGACACGCACCCGCCGGGAGGGCAGAGGAGCCGTGGGAGGCGCCGCTGAGAGCAAACCCAAGGGTGGGCCCCGGGCAGGGCCTGACCAGAGGCCAGTGGAGGTCAAAGGCAGTTTTTCCATGCTGCTTTCGGACCGATAACTGGACATGGCCTTCGCCTTGAGTAAGCTTAAACCAAGGTGATTTCCCAGGAATTTTCTTAAAAAGCAAAACAGAGGTTTCTATGAACTACCCTGTTTTAATCCTGCAGATCGAGTGTGTGTGTGTGTGTGCGCGCCCAGGTGTGAAGGTGGCCCTCCACACAGTTGCCCACCCTGGACGGCCCACAGCGACCCCAGATGGGCACCAGGATAAGAAGGAAAGAGGAGGTCCCTTGCCTGGAACCTGTTTCTCCCTGTTCCTCTCCTCCCTCAGGTCTCAGCTTCCAGAAGGTTCCTAAACCCTAAGCCCCCCCTAAACCCCATGCTCCCCAGGACCCTCAGCTTCTACTTCCTCGGTCCGGGCCTGGATGTTTCTTTCCTGTAATCCCCAGTTGGTCCCCAAGCAGACCCGTGAGAAACAGATCTGTCTGCAGCCTCAGAACCTATCGGGGGCCAGGCACCCAAGGGGCTTTGGTGAAAGGACGAGGATGAAACCCCCGTTGTGGGCTGGGGGTGGCAGGAGGGAGGAAGACAGAAGACATGGACCCTGCAAAGGGAGCTGGCACACGGGGTCCTCTCAGGCCGAGCGCCGCCCGATGCCACCAGGGCAAGCGTGGCCTCTGGTGAAGCCGCACATAAACACAAACTGCATCAGACAGAAGCGTGTCAGTGCGGGTGACAGCACTGTGACATGCCATGAGAGGCCAGGCCCGGCCGGCCAGCGGGCTGAGAATACACCCCACACCCAGCCAAGCACCTGGATGTCCCAGAGTTGTCCCAGGTCAGGTCACTGGCTGCACCTCTTTGCGTTATTAAATGTAATTGAATCTTTGAACATCTACAGATTTTCACATAAGGTTTAACATCAGGGAAAGTACTGCTTGAAGCCGTGGTCCGATTTCTGGTCCAGGGAGGGGTGCCGGCCTTGTAGCCCGGCAAAGCAAGTGACACCCTGCCCCAACACGGGGCCCCCGCGGGGAGCCCCAGAGAACTGCAGAATGGGTCACGCTGACCTGTGGGACAGGCAGATGGCCTTCGTTCAGGGGCACTGGAAAGCCCACGGAGCTGTCCTAACACCCGGCAGAGCAGGAAACTAAAGGACCTTCTCCCGCAGGGAACCAAGTGCCAGCCGTTCCCTGGGGCTGAGAACCAGCTGCTGAGACCCAGAGGAGGCCAGCGCGAAGCACAGGAGGTTCGGCCTTTCCGGCAGCTAAAGCCTGCGCGGCACGGTACCTGGAGCGGGGCTCTCCTCAGAGCCCCACCGTAGTGACGACACTCGGCAACGACAATGACGCCAGGCCACCCCACGGAAAAGCCAGCTCTGACTGGGGCGTCCCAAGCTGGAGACAGCTGTGCGCTCAGGCCAGGGGGGCCTGGACAAAGGGGTGCGGGGCCAGAGGCCAGGCTGGTGAGGGGGAGGGATGGAGACTTTGGCGGCCTCAGCTCCCAGGTCTTGTCCGCCAGGCCGCCGGCCTGGACTGTACACAGGGACAGGGAGCCCTGGGGGGTTTTATCAGGACAGGAAGAACACAGCTCTTCGGACTTGCAAATATCCCCCTGGAATGACCCGCTCCTTGCTGGCGGCACCATGAGGCAGGGGCCGAGCTCGCGTGGGCAGAGGTGGGAGTCCACACCACCCCCTCTGGAAGCTGGGGCGGCCTCTGGCAGCCCCAGGATGGAGGGGCCCTGCTGGGAGGAGGTGACTGGCCAAGGCAGGCTGACCCCGAGGGTGCTGTCAGGGGCTCGGGGCGGGGGAGTGTCTGAGTGGGCAGTGGGGCGGGGTCTCAGGGTCCTGGGGGCAACTGCTGGCCAAGACCTGGGGCGACGTCAGGTGGTTCTGGGGGCTCTGCATCCCTCTTCAGCCCTGCCCGGCCAGACCTCCCAGGGCTCAGCTGAGACTCCCCCCCGCCCCGCCCCCGTTCCCCCTCCAGCGTGCAACAGCAGCACCTACACCCTCCCCCGGCCACCGGTTTGGACTCAGCTCAGAAAGTCGGGGCCAGGCCCACCGTCACCACTCACCCGCGTACCCTCCTGATGCCCTGGGTCCGGCAGGGGCTGGGAGGGCGGCGGTGGCCGCTCATGGGGACCGGCCACCTCAGGGTTTGAGCTGGGTCTTGGCTCAGGGGACCGCTACCCCCCGAGAGGGCAACGCTACCTGGGTGACAGTGTTACCTGGCTCTCCCCTCCTCCCATCTGGCCTTGGGCTCCTCACCTGCTCCCCCCCCCTCACCTGGCCTTCAGCACTTCCTGGACCTTCTGCTCCAGCTCCATCCGCCGCTGCCGCTCCCGGTCCAGCTCCTGCCGCAGCATCTCCGCGTTGGTTTCCTCTCGCAGCTTCCGGAGCTCCTCCTCTGTGAGGGGAGAGAAGCCCAGGTGAGTGTCATGTGGTCCATTCTGCCCCCCGTGCAGAGGTGCCGAGAGAGGGCTGGTCTGCAAAGCACTTAGACAACTGGCAACAGCAGCTCTCTTGCTCCTTCCTGGGGGGCACACCCGCAGGAGTCTATCAACCGGGGCTCCTCTTACACAGTCAGGGCAAGATCTGGGGCAAAGCAAGGGTGAGAGTGTCTTTACTAAATAAAACCCATTCAAGATAGACACACCAAAGGCATTTCACCAAACCACCTCCACGGGGGCAGGACACCCCGAGGAAGGGATGCTGGCGGCACTCGGTCACTCCACAGACACACGTGCAGCAGGTGCAGTTCTGGGAGGTCTCGGCCGCAGAGAAAAGCCCATGTGAGGGGCAGAGAGCTCCGCCACCTGGCTGCCGACCACCTGAGAACCATGCGGCGGGACGGTGAGGGGTACAGTGGCAGGGTGAGCGGGTGCTTGAGAGAAGCCGCAGCAAGGTGTGTCTGAGTCAGAACCTGGATGAACAGAAGGGGGCGGGCCGGCAGGGTAGGGGTGGGGGGGGAGAGTATGGGGTGCAGAGGGAGCAGCCCTGGTGAGGCGAAGGCAGGAGGGGCCGTGGGCTGGGGGGAGGGGTCACAGATGAGATGCGGGTGGGGCGTCAGAGCCCGGGAAGCCAGAATGAGGACCCGACATTTATTCCACGTGTGATGGAAGCCAGTGCCAGGTAGCTGTTGTTCTAACTGAGAGTGTGGGGTGGGCTGAGAAATGGCCCCAAGGATGGGCCATCCTAACCTTGGAAGCTGTGACTAAGCACCTTACACGGACAAAGGGACCCTGCGGAAGTGATAAGGACCTTGAGATGGGTGTGTATCCTGGATTACGTGCATGGGACCAATGTCATCACAATGATGGAAACTCAGGAGGAAGCAGGAGGGTCAGGGGTCAGAGAGAGGAGACAGGAGGGTGCGGTCCCGCTGCCTGTGAAGAGCCAGGGGCACGGGCAGCGTCTAGAGCTGCAAGAGTCAAGGACACAGTCTCCCCCGGAGCCTCCAGAAGGAAGATGGCTCTGCCCGCATCTTGGCTTGAGCTCTGTGACACTCATTTCAGACCTCCGGCCTCTGAACTGTAAGAGAATAAGGAGGCTACTTTAAGCCCCCAGTTTGTGGAAATCTGTTGCAGAGGCGACAGGAACCTCGTACACACGTGGCTGCACACGCCCTAAGTGGACGTCGCTCTGCATTTCTGCACGACCGGACACCGCACGACGACACCACACAACACAAGAGATCCGTGAGCAGCCACCCAGCTCACACTCCTGAGGACGGGTCTCCTCCCACCTCCAGGCTGGAGCTGCAGTGAAGACACAGACCCTCTGGGCCTCTGGACCCAGGGCGGCCTGAGCTTAGTGAGGAAGGGGGCCTCAGAGAGCACCGTGGACAGGGAGGTGATCAGGACCATGGACGGCCACCCCTCTGACGGCTGGGCCCAAAGAGCAGAAGGAGAAGGGTGTGCAAGAAGGTTCCAGAACCCGCTTTGCATACAGTCTAGTCCTGCACTTTTCGTGTCTCCCACAAAGCACCTCAGCTACCTCTACTGAAGACGTGAGTTACGCATCGATGAAAAGGCCCAGTCCAGCCTGACGCAAGTCTTGCACTTTCGTGGGAGACACAGAGGCTCCTGAGCTAAGTCTGGTCCAGGGCGGGGATTCCGGCTCTCCTCCTACCTGGGCGCTGACGGTGGGGTAGGGGGCCTAGCCAGGCTGCAGGGACGATGGGAGCAAAGGGCCCAAGGGGGGTGGGGCTAAGGAAAGACCCACCATGGGAGAACATGCGTGCACCGCCGGCCGTGCACGTGCCCGGGCAGCGCCGGCCGTGCAGGAGGCCCAAGGTAACAAGCAGAGGCAGACGGGAGCTGGTCCTGCTGCAGGCCCAGGCCAGAGCCCCCGGCAGCGGGAAGCATCACGCGCTGACTCGAGAGTGAGGGCTCACACCTGTAGCCACGTGGATGCAACCAGAGACGATCGTATAAGTGAAGTAAGTCAGAGAAAGACAAATAACGTGCGACATCACTTACATGTGGGATCTAGAACATGACACAAATGAGCCGATCTCAGAAACAGAAACAGACTCAGGGACACAGAGAACAGTCTGGTAGTTGCCAAGGGGAAGCGGGTGCCTGGGGGAAGGATGGAGTGGGAGTTTGGGGTTAGCAGACGTAAGCTATTATATACAGAATGGATAAACAACAGGGTCGTACTGTAAAGCACAGGGAACTATGGGATAGTTATATCAATATCCTGGGATAAACCAAAATGGAAAAGAATATAAAAAAGAATGTATATATAACTGAATCACTTTGCTGTACAGCAGTAATTAACACAACATTGTAAATCAACGATAAATTAAAAAATTTTTAAAGTTAGGGCTCAGGGGCTTCCCTGGTGGTGCAGTGGTTGAGAGTCCGCCTGCCAATGCAGGGGACGCGGGTTCGTGCCCCGGTCCGGGAAGATCCCACATGCCGCGGAGCGGCTGGGCCCGTGAGCCATGACCGCTGAACCTGTGCGTCCGGAGCTTGTGCTCCGCAACGGGACAGGCCACAACAGTGAGAGGCCCGCGTACTGCAAAAATAGATAGATAGATAGATAGATAAATAGATAAATAGATATATATATATATAAAAGTTAGCGCTCAGCACTGGGCCTTGGTGTCAGTCTACACCGTGCACCTGAGAGCCCCGAGCACGTGCTGCGTGAGTGAGTGAAGGGGTCCTGCTCTCCGCACCCGCCCCCCAGAAGTGAGCACAGCCCAGCTACAACCAGGACCCTTGTCCTCCAGGTGGGGAACTCCTTCGCCATCCCGCAAAGCCCCTCCCCACTCGGTCGCCCCACAGACATCTGGGGAATGACAGGTAGCTGCAGGCAACTTCTCCAGGATCCCGCCGCAAGTCCTTTGTACGATGTAATTACTGTAAGATGCAATCAAGTCCACCTGCAAATCTTAGGTCACTTCCCTCAGGCCTAAGGCTCCTGCAGGTACGAGACCCAAGTCGCGTCAGAAATCACTTTTTCTTGTTTCTAAGCCGGTACACGGTGGGCTCGTCCTCATCGCAGCCCCACGCTGACACAGTCCTCGTCCCTCTGCCCTCCTGCATTTCCTGGACGTGAGCCCTCACTCCTCAGCGTTCTCAAAGGTGTGACCCTGGAGGAGCCAACGCCCACCCGGGACAGGCAGGCCCCAGACTCACGGAGGGCAGAGGACCTGGCGCTACGAAGAGGCACACGAGGCCACCGCCACCCCCCTCGCTCGGCTCCACCGGGGCCCTAGGGCAAGGCTGCCCACGTGCAAATGGGGCAGTGGTGCAGCAGGGACACAGCCACAGCAACTGCAGCGCGTGCCGTGGCCCAGCTACAAAGCCATAGGGAGTCACCTCCTCAACAGACACCCATTCCCCACGCGACAGTGTGTCCAGGGCCAAGACCAGAGATCGGCCCCTCCGCGGGCAGCTGCTTTGGGCCAACGATCCCGTTTCCGCTTTTCTGCAAACAGCTAGAGCTGCAAAACAAACCTGACGGCCTGGGCCAGGCTGGACCAGAGCAGCTCAGAGCCCGCATCGGCCGCTCCACCAGTGAGCACTGGGCAGCCTCGTGTACCAGGCACGCTCCGGACACTCGTGATAAAGAAGTGACCCAAACAGAGAGCCACCCTCGGCGGGGGGCGGGGGCAGGTTGGGCCGTAGGAACAGCCCTGGTCAGTGAGCCTGAGCTGAGGGCAGACGTGAGCAGGGCTGCGGAGAAGGATCGAGCCCCGTGCACCCGAGGGGGGAGCGTCCAGGCAGCAGGGGTAGCGCCTGCCAGAGCCCTCGAGATGGTCCCGGGCAAAGGACCACACGGGCTCCCACGGGGCGGGGCTGTGCTCGCCCACCTGCAGCTCAGCCTGCGGTCAGTATGCTTTCCCGGGAGACCCAACTCCCCCCCCGTCCCTCACACTGGTGAGGCGCTGGCTCCTGAGCGCCCTCTGCAGGGTGTAACTCAGAAGCAGCTGCGACCAGAGGTCCTGCCCGACCCCGCGGGTGCCGGAGCTCCAGCAGGTGGGCCTCTGTGCCCGGTCCGCGGCGTCCACAGCGCGGGAGCCCTCGGGGAGCGTCAGCCGGCGGCAGGATGAACCCCGGATGCCCAGCCCATGGCTCCCACCAGCCATGTCCAAGCGGGGCCTTTCCAACAGGCTCAGGGAAAACAGACCGAGCAGCCCCCCACCCCCGCCCGGACAGAGGAACGTGAACTCTGACAGCAGTGACAGAGGGACGACCCTCCCCGGGCCCGGGAGGTTGGCAGACTTCCGAGCCAGCACCAAGACGGCCCAGGGTCAGGGTCACCGGCCTACCGGGTGGGACCGAGGCTGGTGTATGTGCAGCGGCGGGCTCCAGGGTCTGGCTGAGGGTCAGCTCACTGCTCCCTCTACCCAGAAGTCAGCCCCATCCATGTGTGGCGTGTGGCAGCCATGGTCCGGGAGGTGGGTCACAGACCACCCCAATTGGTGGGGCTGACAGGCTGCAACGGAAATTCCCACAGGAGAAGCCTCACTTGGGCAAGTCCCAAAAGGCATTCCTGAGACCTCAGAATGTGACCAACTAACTCACCAAAATCAGGGGCGTGGACTGGAGCCCGGGGAGGCCAGGATCCATTGCCCTCGCTGCCGGTCCAGTGAGACCCTCGCTGGCCTGGAGCCTGCTTTCTGGACAGGATGGGGCTCAGGGGGACCCAGCAGGTTCCTCTCCTGTCCTGGCCACCTCACCGAGCCCAAGACCCCGAAATTCAGGCCAAGGTCAGTATGACAGCCCCAGGTCCCAGAAACAGAAGGGCTGGCAGAGCGGCTGTTGTCTACACGGCGGCCACCACGCCCCGTGCAGGCAGAGCCATGGGGAGACCCTGCTGCCTCTTGGGGGCGTCCAGGGTGGGGGCGCCAGCCCCACCTCCCACCTGGAGAGCTCGGGACTCACCCGGCTTTGCCCCAGCAAGGGGCAGATAGATATTTAGGTTTGCTGAGAGCCGGGATCCACGTGCTCGGTAAATATTTGGAGTCCTTGGGGCCTCCCGCGCTGCCCCTCCTGCTGGGCTCTGCCCTGATCTGGGCATGTGGCTCAGCATTCTTCAGGGCCCTGGGGCCCCTCCCACCCCCTGGGAGAAAACCCTCCAGACAAGGGGGCTGAGAGGACACCACACCAAGCCCACAGGGAGCCATCCCACCTGGCTCCTGTTAGCCACGGTCTCCTCCAGAGATCCCCCCTTCGGTCCTGGGGTGAAGCAGCGCGGCCCTTGCGCCGCCTAGTTTCCCTGAGGACCACGGCCTCCCAACCCGCTGGACTTGGTGCCTCCCAGGGGCACAGAAGAGACTCTGTAAAGGGACTGCACAAAGCGGGGGACCAGGGGGAGGGGCAGCCTCTGCCTAGGGCCTGGGGGACATTTCCAAGTTAAGACTCAGAAGCAGAGTCCAGCCGGGGCCAGGCAATGAGTGAAGAGCAGAGACCCCTCCCCGCTCCAGGGCTGCGGGAAGCCAGGCCTCAGACCCCCAGCCCCAAGAGGGCCATGCCCCCACCCCTCTCAGTCTGGCTTATTTACAGCAGAGGGGCCCTGTGCCAGGGGCGGATGGGCAGGGCCCTCACCCTCACGTCTAGGAGTTCTTCCTCCAAGCACCCCCAAACCCACCCGCTCTCACCTCGGCTCGCACCCTGCTTCCTAACTGGCACCCCAGCTCTCCTCACACCCTCCACAGTCTGGCTCCAAACAGCAGTCAGAGGCTCCTCTAAAGTCTAAGTCAGAACCTGACACTGTCCTGCCCAAACTGGCCACACGGGGAGTCCTTCCAGCCCGAGGCCACACCCCACTCCCCGCTTCGATGCCCTCTGATCTTGCTCTGACCTTTGCTCTTTGGGTTCAAGCCACAGGAGCCGTCTCTCAGGTGCCCAAATGCCTCCACAGTCAGACCCCACCCCAGGACCTTTGCACATGCTGTTGCCCCTCGACCTCAGTGCTGGCTCACGTGCCATTTTCCCCCAGAGAGACGCCCCGACCCCCCTCCCATCTTATGTGGCCCTTTGTCATCTTCTCTTGTGGGTCCTGCTTTTGCCTGTCAGGGACAACACGGGTCCTCCCCAGGGTGCTGGGAGGGGATGCCCTCAGGTGACACAGCTCCACAGGGAGGGGCTCAGCAAACATGACCCCTGGTAAGCACGCCACATTCCTAAGTCACATTCAGCTGCAGGATGCCCCAACTCAGGCCCCAGAGAGAGGACCCCGTCTGATTCACTGTCTGTGACGGCCCAGGACGCAGCCTGGCTCAAGGGGAAGCCAGGACAGATGCAGTGAATGGACACTGGGCAGTGGGGACAGCAGAGCAAGTTCTCAGCAAGTGAACTGCAGGACACACGCACCAGGCTGGTCGAGAACCAGGCAGAGAGGACACCAGTGGGAGGGGAGGGCCATGGTGGGGATTCAGCAAACAGTGCCAAGAGTGAGTGGCCGGCCACCAGCATCTGAGGGACGTCTGCATCCTGCACGCCAGGCCCGCGGGCCCCAAACCTCGGGCCTCAGCCTCCCCCCGCCTCGTACTGGGGTTCCCGCGGACCCTGGCCCTGAGGACTCAAGGGCATACAGAGTCCCCACCTGTCATGTCCTTGCACACAGAGCACCTGCTGGCAGGTGGCGGGGGGCACTCAGACGATCGGGGGTCCAGAGCCCTGACACGCAATCCGCTCAGGAGCCCCAGCCTCCGCGGGGACCTCCACTCCACCCCACGCCAAGTCAGCCTGCTCGTGCGGAGAAGCCACTGCCTGCACACAACTCCACGAGCAGATACTCGCTGTGCAAGTATAACGCACCAGGCTCTGTCAAAGCGGGGTCGCTGCCGTGACCGAGCACCCACACCCTGCCCGGAGTGGGCATCTGGTGATGCCCCAGGCACCTCACCTGCGTGAACTGACCCCAGGGCCACCCAGGTGCAGCGTCCTGCTGGACCCTGGACCCTCGGGAGGCGGGTCTCCTGTCCTGACGCAGGCGGGGCCCTGGGGCCCCCTTCTGAGAGGATGTGCTCCCACCGGCAGTGGGAGAGCCTGGGCCCTGGAGCCACGTGAAGACCCCCTGCCCTCCTGAGCGCCCGCGGAGCACCGCTTAGCCTCCTCCCGCGGGACCCACTTTGGAGGCCTCCACGGAGGGCCTGGCTTACAGCAGGTGCTCGGGTGAAGCTCCCGGGGAGCCCCCGCAGAGACCTGCCCCCTGAGCTCCGGGCGACTGGCCCTCCGCAGTAGTGAGAGTGTGTCCCCGGGGGGGGCCGCCCCGGGCTCGGCTGGCTGTGCAGGGGCTCCCACCGCCTCTCGAGGACAGGCGTGGGCGGACTCGCAGGCCAGGGAGCTTCACGGGGGGGAAAACAGAGGCGAGGGGCTTCCCGCCACCGCAGCCTCGCTCCCGGGAGCCAAGGTCGGGGTGCCGGGTGCCTTCCCATCCGCTCCTCTGATCCCCATCACCCACACACACTCCAGTCACCTCCGTGGACCCGAAGGTCAAGGCGCCCCAGACGCCTCCTCACGCACAGCGTCATCAGCAGGAAACCACATTTTCTTTCTCAACGCCCCCGAACTCCCTTCCCCACGCCACTCACCTGCGAGGGGTCAAGTGCAGCTGGTTCCCCCCATGTGGAGACGGCCAGCCAGGCCGCTGTGCACACGCGTGGACACGCAGCTCCCGTCCTAAGCTCCCGGCATGCTCCTCGCCGGCTTGCAAGCGTGTCTGGGACTCCAGTCCTGGAGGCAAGGGGGTCTCGGGCCATGTCCTCTTAACCTGGGCTCCTGACAAAGCCCCCTCAGCCCTGCCCTTCTCACGGGCACCATCCCCCCTCAAGCTGCCGCTTGCTCTCCTGGGCCTTCCCGGGGGCGGGCGCTCTGTGGGGCCGAGACCAGCGGGCTCCTCCCTCCTCACTCCTCAAAGCCGCCCCCCGCCCCCACAAGCCAGTGAGGGGACGCGGCCCCGCAGACAAGGATGCTTGGGTACAGCCTGGCAAATCCACTCGTCCCAATTCACAGCAAACGTAAGAAGCCTTCCCGCCTCTTCCAGGTGCCCCCTCTCCTGGGGGCACAAAGACAGCTAAATAAATAAAACCCATCAGCATTCTGATCATTGCTCTCCTACAAGCCTTTCTCTGAGCGAATGGCTCCCCCGAGGCCACGCAACTCTCCTTACGCCTGCAACGATGATTAGACCCCACAACGGTTGATACTACGGGTCTGCTCCCTCCGGCAACATATTTAGGTCAACTGCAGTGCAGAGCACAGCTGGCTACTCGCACAGGACAAAGACGATACAAATCCCCACAATCAATTTTTGCTCCTCCTCTCGGATAGAGAAGAAACAGGAGGCCAGCTTCCCGCCAGGCAGAAAGCGCTGAGCTGCTCACTCAGAAGGCTGCCTTGTCTTGGGCAGCCGCCCAGCGGGACCCCTGTCCCCAGGGGCCGTCAGGGCCCGTGGCAGCTGGCTCTCCTCGGGCTGCCCTCCAAGCTCAGAGCCCAGCTCGTGGCCTCTTCCGCAGTGGCCTGGCCTTCTGGCCGCCGGCCCCGGATACCACCTGCGGCAGCAAAGGGCTCCCCTCGTGCCCCTGCTCTGTCAGTCGGGGGCCGGGAGGGTCTCCTGCAGGTGGGGACAGGGGTGCAACGTCACACACAGGGCCCCCCCACCATGTTGATCTCCTGCCGCTGCTGTAATAAGTGACCACAGACGGAGCGGAAGAGTATGCCCTCTCACAGCTCTGGAGGTCAGAGTCTGAAATGGGCCTCGAGCGGCTCAAGTCCAGGTGTGGGCAGGGCTGGCTCCAGGAGAAAGTCCACTTCCTGGCCCCTTCTGCTTCTAGAGGCACCCACATTCCTTGGCCGCTGACCCCTCGCCATCAGGGACATCACCCCGACCTCTGATTCCACTGTCAACTCTCCTCCTCTTTCTCTGACCGCACCCCGCCGCCTCCCTCTCACAAGGACCCTTGTGACGACACTGGGTCCACCTGGATTAACCCAGGCCCACCTCCGAGCTCAGATCCTTAACTCAACCACATCTGCAAAGCCCCTCTGGCCCCATAAGGTGACACAGTCACAGGCTCTGGGGGTTAGGATGAGGACATTGTGGGGAGCCACGACCCTGCCCACCACACTCCCCCTGAGACGATGCTCTTGGGCCAAGGAGGCTGAGCTGGCTCTGGGAGGGGGGACCGTCCCCCCTCTTTCCACCAAGCCCAGAGAGGGTCTTCCCGCCCCCAGAGACCCCGCAGGCTGTAAGAAGAGTCCTCCTTTAGCAGGTCAAGTGGCCCCTGGGGAGCACTGGGGGTCCTGGCTGGCCCCCTCCCTCCCACCTCTCTGCTCCTCGCCTCTGGCTGTGCCCCGAATGCCCCCACTGACGACGCTTCCACTGCCTTGGCCAAACTCTCAACAGTGAGCAGTGCCAGCGCAGAGCGTCCTGGCGTCACGCCTGCCACGAGCCCGTGACCTTCCGCAAGCGCGTCCTGACACAGGCCCACTCTTGGGCCACTCTCCTGAGCCTCTCTGCACCTCTGCAGCCACGCAGGTGGGCCAGGAAAGGTAGCTTCATACCTGCCGGCAGCTAAGTCACAGGCCGGGGTCCCAGGAGTAGAAGCCACAGCCCGGCAAGGCGGGAAGGGCCTGTGCACCAGCAGTCACAGGGTCCACCTGGGTCACGTGGCACAGCTCCCAGCCTGATGATCCTCTCCTTTTCAAGACCTGCTGCCGGCTCTGTGGCATCTGCTGACCCGGCAGATGGCCGGGGCCGGCCAGGGGATGGGAAGGAAGCCTGCAGGAGGCCAGGGGAGCCAGAATACCTGCCCAGGATAGGATTCAGAACCCCCGAACCTTCTAAGATTGGAGGGCACGCCCGGGAGAGAGACGTCTGCACCGTAATTCATCAATTCCCTCACTGGGCCCCCGCTCAGCAGGACACCCACGTGAGCGAAGCCCAGCAGCCAGGTGCACGGCCCCGAAGGGAAACCAGGGCCAGCTCCGCGGGGGATGCAGCCTGCCCCACCCACCTCCCACAGAGCAGGCAGGCAGCAGACTGTAACAGGGAGAAGGGGGAGGCCCGGGTTGCTCTGGGAGCCCAGAGGGACCCTCACACAGGTGTCCAACGTGACTTTCTAAAGCTTGGCTTCTGTATCCAAAATGCCCCCTTCACGCAGCCCAGAGCATACTCTAATAGGAGCTTTCAGGGACCCCAACCAGCGTGCTGAGAAACCAGTGCTTTCAAAGGGAGAGGCAAAATGAGTTACAGGCGTGGAGCCCCGCACACAGGAGAGCAGCTCCGTGCGGCAAAGCGTTTCTTGCAGCACTCACCCGCCAGGATGGCCGGCCCACCCACGCGGTCCAGCCTTCATGCCTCCCCAAGCCTACAAGGAAAAGGGCAGGGACAGCACCTGACCAGCGATTCCAGGTGCACCCCTATCGGCCCACGGCCACCCTGACTGGCTCAGGGAGACAGAGGGGACGCCTGGGCTCGTGCCCACCCATGCCCAGGCAGCAGGGCCATAGCCCAGCCCACTACCCCAGCCCCCAGGGAAGCCACCAGGAGGAAGGAACACAGCTCTGAGGCTATTTTTAAACCTGTAAAAGTAGAACTCTCAAGCAAGAGTCCTCTTGGCACACAATTCAACAGGCCGAGCCACAGCCAAAAATAAAAATCAAGTGATAATCCTTAAATAAAACTCCTTCCCACCAGCCAGGTGTGCAAAGGCAGGGACCACTCGCAAAGCTGTTTCTGGGTCCTGGCCAGGTGGCAGGCTGCACACCCGGAGGCCCCACCCCATGGTCCTAGGCTCTGCCCTTCACCTCTCTCCTCAACTCTCCCCAGACTGAACTCTCCCGGCCTCCCAGCTAAATCTGGATCCCACCACCCTGTGACCTCGGACCTTTCTAGAAGGCAGAGCCACGCCCTCCCAAAGTGCCAGGTATCGGGTCCTGAACCGAGGGCATGCTTGCAGCAACCAGTAAAGAAACAGCCAAGTCAGCCCCCTCCCTTCCTGCACCCTCTCCCCGCGAGGAAAACAGTTCATCGGGGAAAGGCCGTGCTTTCGTGGTAAACTTCCGTTTGCAATTTTCCCAGCGTTTACTCACCGCTGCGTTACTTGCTGCTGGATGCAGAGGTAGGGTTTATGGAACGATGAACAAACCATCACCCACCACGCTGATGGCCTGGTCACCAGGAAGCGGTGCCGCATTAAGCTCTTACGCGCCCACACGACAGGCTGCAGCCTAGACGCTGGCACACCACTGCCTTTCACATACACTTTAGGAAACTGACTGGGGGTCTGGGGTGAAGAAGCAGTGCATTAAAACGTTTCTCGTGTAAAATAAGAAGGAACAGGATCCCAGCCAGAGTTTCCACCCAGAACAGCTGATTTTCAGGAACCGACGACCGCCTTTCAGCAAGAGGTGGCGCGCTGCTCTGACGGCCAAGGTCCGGGCTCCAGGGCCCTGGCCAGCACCGAACCAGGAAATATGTGTGTGCCCAGCCCCCAAGCCCGCTCCTCCCTGTGCCCGAGCTCTCAGGGCCCAGGCAGGGGACGTGCCCTGCTGGGCGCTGAGCCAGGACCGCCTGGTGGGCCAGCTCGCCTCTGTCCAGCGAGGAGGCAGGGCCGGACATCTGCAGGGATAAGCAAGGAGCAGGTTCCCACCAGGCAGCAGGACTGACCTAGAAATATGCAATTCAGAGCCAGCCCAGTGGGTCAGACACGCCGTTTTCTTTGGGGCCAATTTCATTTTTTTCCCAGATAAGTCCTCTATGATATGGACATGCAGTCTCATCTCTTGTCTTCATCTGCCGGTTATCCGATCTGTTTGCTCCCTTCCCGTCCGTCTAGGTCACCCATTTGTAGTCCTCACGAAAGGGCAGAAACCACTTGACAAGCGCATCACTACAGGGTCAGAACCGTCCGACCCAGCCTCTGGCACTGGGAGTTTATCCTCTCAGCTCAACATCACAGAATACACAGGAGGAGCAGAGTTTTTTTAAAAAGCCAGACCGGGACTTCCCTGGTGGTGCAGTGGTTAAGAATCCACCTGCCAGTGCAGGGAAGACAGGTTTGAGCCCTGGTCCGGGAGGATCCCACGTGCCGCGGAGCAACTAAGCCTGTGCGCCACGACTACTGAGCCGGCGCTCAAGAGCCCGTGAGCCACAGCTACTGAGCCCGCGCGCCGCAACTACTGAAGCCCACGCGCCTAGAGCCCGTGCTCCGCAACAAGAGAAGCCACCACAACGAGAAGCCCGCGCACCGCAACGAAGAGTAGCCCCTGCTCACCGCAACTAGAGAAAGCCCGCGCACAGCAACAAAGACCCAGCGCAGCCATAGATAAATAAATAAATTTATATATTTTTTTAAAAAGCCAGACCCCCAGAGGGACATCTGCAGGCCCGGGCCCAAAGGAGCGGGTCCGGAGGTATCCGACCAATGCCACACCTAACCCATCCCTGGCCGGCTTCGGGTGGCTGCCCCATCGGACGCCTCTAGCAGCGGGCAGCTCCCGCGCTGCTGTTTTCAGTGGTGAGAAAGGGCGTCCTCAGCCTGAATCACCCAGACTGGCGCCCAGAAACTTCCTTCCCTCCAGGCCCCTCTGTTCAGCCTTGGCATCCAGAGGGAGGCCCTCAGGCCACAGGAGGCAGACGGCCGCCCTCCTGCCACCTCCCTGGCCACCTTCTCCGGGAAGCCCTCCCAGGGGGGTCACAGCCGGCCACACTGACCCACTGCGTGTTGGGGCAGGAAGGGGAGCTCCCGGGAGCAGAGGGGCTCAGGAGCAAAGGGCCCCTTTCCCAGAGGCACCCTCCCCAGGAACCACCACAGTGTGTCTGGCACCTGTGTCGGTGGTTCAGAGATGATGGATCCCTGTCCCGAAGGCTCAAGCCCCCAGGGTGTGGCTGAGGGGACCACCCTCCAGCATGCCCATCCAGAGAGGAGTCCACAGGCCTCACGTCAAGTGGGGAAGAAGAAACTTCTCGGCAACACAGAACCTGCACGTGGGTCAGGGACCCTCGGGCTTAGCCCAGCACCCAGGAGGCCCCGGACCCCTGACACCCCATAAGCACTTTCCCTCTAAGCTCCATATTCCGTGCCAAGTCACCTTCAGGAAGAGCCTGTGTGTGCAGCTTACAATGCTGGAGAATCTCCCTTCCCAGAGCCTGCGCCCAGCGGGTGATCGATACATGCACACCCCTGCTCAGAAACTACGGAGCAGCGTGTGTTTGTGCTCAAAAAGCAGTAACAACCGAAATGCATTGCGGGCTAAATGAAAATGGACGATGCTTTGCATTTATTTATGTGCTTCTTTAACAAATTTAGGATCCTGCCCCCAGTCCCGAGCCGGGACGCACTTCAATTTCCCATTCTTCACCCTCTGCCATCTTCTCCCGGGAACATTTGTGCTCTTCAATATTTAATAACCAAAGAAAGCCGCTCTGAACCTGGGCTATTTCCTCTTCTCCGAGAATAACAGTCTGCTTCTGGAGAAAAAGTACTACCGGTAATTAAATGGAACTTTAACACTGACCACGTAGGCGTTTTACGGATGGGGGCAACCAGGCCCTGAATGGTGAAATGTCCACGGCTACCTGATCACTCGGGGCTGAGTCAGAACCAGAAGCCTGGGTCCCCACTCCAGAGCAAGGCTCCCCATCACCGCGGCCCCCTGCAGACCAGGGGTGGCCACCCTAGCACAAGATGTAGGTTCAGCGGCGACCAAAACATCTCTATGGGTCCCAAGGGGGGACTACATCCTTTCCTCCACACTGTACTCCCCTGGGTACTGAGACGGAAGCGAGAGTGCAGGGAGGGACAGCCTCTCTGTGCAAACTCCAGCTCTGACCAGGTTTCCCTGCAAGGCATCCCTCCAAGCACTGAGCTCCTATTAGATCC